TACGGCACCAGCTTAGTCAACACGACACACAACAAAACCAGACAGAAACTCTAATCCAACCTTCCAAAGCTGTTGGTGTCATCGCTCAGTCTATGGGTGACCTGCCTTGATGCCTGCGACCCTGGTTCTCGTGGTTCTGCTGGTGCGGTTCTGCTGTGAGGAGAACCCATGACCAAACCCTGCTGATTGAGGAAGGTCATGAGGTTTGGAGAGCTGGGGGGCTTGGGGAATTCAAATGGAGGAATGGTCTGAGGAGAGAGTTTGGAAACACAGAGGGTTAGGTTGACTCTTTTAACTTTCTTTCTGCGCTGGGTTTTTCTCTAGAGATTTGACCAACCCTGGAAGGGGAGCCGAGGATTGTGGGAAGGGGGCTGCGCTGTATCAGCTCACTTAGCCTTGGGGAGGAGTGTAAGGGTCGGAGAGTCATCAGACCTGGTGAGGGGATACCCATGGGATCTGAGTGCTGCTTCTTCACTTTCTGTCTCGCGCCGCCGCTGACAAACTCTAACAGGCAGGGGGCACTGTGGAGCCGCGTACCCAGTCCTGCTGCGGTCTGTGGGTGTTGATGAGGAATGGGACGAGGCTCAGTGAGCTGAGGAGCTGCAAGGAGAAGAAAGCGGAAAAAAATGTTCTTTTTTATTGGGCTTGTGAAAAAAGGTTGAACAGGTGAACTATACAGAGAGATATTGATTGGACAGGACATTAAAATGTCACATCTGGGGGAGACGGCAGAGATGGACTTGTTCTGGCCTCACTGTCCTCCACTATGACATTAGAGCGATGAGAGGAGAGCAACTGGTAGTGAGCAACAACGTCTCTCTGAATGATGGTTTGGAGCATTCTTCCAACTAAACATTTTCAAAACTACAGGTCGAAACTAAAGTTTGTTCTTCATCTGACCAACAGCACAGAGACAACTACTGTATGATTTTAATTATTTAGAACAAATAAAAGCAACACAGCCTTGTTATGGGAAGCAAGAAGCCCAGAGAGAACTTTATATTTTTTCTTCATAAATAAATTAGTGGGTAAGAAATATGCCATTAGTCCAAGTTTTAAACTGGAAATCATGTTCAGGGGCTGAAAACACAAACATATCTGAGGAATACTCTGAATGTAGGGAGTAGGAAGTTTGTCTTTTACCCACAATGCATGGGTTCAATTTATGCTTAATCTCAATTCACCCTCCTCTAGGAACTAAGACTGTGTAAATTAGGTGAGACTGAAGAATTGGTCAGAGGAATAATGAGGCAGATTCTTGGCTTTAAATCTTTATATATATAAAGTGGAAGAACATATTATCAGCAGAGTAAAAACCTTTACCCTGTCTCTAAGTTTTAGCACTTTAAACCACTGGGGGGAAAAGGTAAAAACTTTCTTCTTAAATGAACCTTTAACATCCCCTATAGGTAATAAATGCAGTATTGTTCTTAAGGCTAGAGAAAACACTGACAACTTTAACCCTGAATTGTTTAATAGAAGCATTTTGGAGTGATAAATATTGTGTATCATTTGTTGTTGAGGTAAAGTAAATTTGTTTATAATTCATAAAAGTGAAAAATCCAAATGTTCAACAGAATTCAAAGTAATTCTAACTCCTTACATATCTTTTAGCAGTTTGGAAATAATATTAATGAATGAGAGTTGGGTAACTGATTAAAGAGAATAAGATACCTGGATGTAGAAAAGTAGGACATGAAGGAGGCAGACAATCCAGATTAGAAAATGGCTGTCCATCATTTATAACCTCAATCAAGTCGTTATAATCAGAGCTGGATTCAGGACCTGCTTTATGACTTAGTGATGCAGTGTCACACCTTTTCACATCACTGTATAACCAGCTGGACACAGGTCTTCATGCTACCTTGAGGTGTGAGCTGAAACGTTCTGCCACATCCCAGTGAGAGTCGGCGAGTGCAGGTGGTGGTGGGTGTGGTGACCGGTGCCTGTCCATACGGTGGGGAAGGTCCGGTCCGAGCAAAGGCCAACGAGCTTCCGCTGCTGCACCGACGCACAGACGATGACGTCCTGAGAAGGCAGAGGTCACGAGTCATGACAATGTGGATCTACGTCTGTGTCTTAAAGAGTCCCAGTTGTCATGTGATACAGACCGTGGTGAGCCATCCTGTTTGATGGAATGGAGATTCTGCTCCATGCGCTGGTAGTTCTGGACCTGAGTGGGCACTGGAATCGGTAATGAGTGAACTTGGCTTCCGCAGTTACCAGCATAGTTACTTCCCGAGAACTCAGTGAGTCTGGCAGAGTGAGAAGGATAAAATGAAGAAAGTGGAACTGTTAGACAACAGAGAGTCAATCATTTTTACACTTTCTGTATGAAAAGGAAGACGAAAACTTAAGAGCTGCATGAAACACACGGACTTTGATCATGTTTGAGAATAAGACCAGTCAATAAAACAGACTGCTACGTCTGTATTCTCTGTAGACTGTGGCAGTTTGAAGCCCAGTTTTCTAATGTTTTACCCTGAAAAAGGTGAAAAAAATACCCTACACTATATATATTTACTTTCTGATGATGTAATTCAAACCGACTAATCACCAATCTATGCACTAAGCAGACTTTAGCATAAAAGCTAAAAACAGCTATCAGGAGCTAACACAGCATACAAGTAAAACAGTCCACTTCTTTAAACGATACAAATATAAAAAGTAATTTAAAAGTTCACCATGGCTGTCCTGATTTTGAAGCGGCTGTAGTCACTACATCAGCAGTTAGCGAGTAGGCTAAACCCAAGAAAGTGTGGTTGTTTCTGTTCAACATGGATTTGAAATAAGTTCATCAGAGTAAAGTAAATGTATTTTTTATTTTGGTAAAGTTTTATGATGTTTGATTTGATTAGTTTGTTAATTCACTGGACTATTAAGTTAATTTTAGTATCAAAAATGCAGCGACACTGGGAATTTAAATCACCTGATTGGACTTGGAGAGCCACTGAAGGACGGTGAGAGTGGTGGTGTTTTGGCTTGACTACACAGACCAGCAGAAGCCAGGAGTGACCTGGAGAAACAAGAGACATTTTGCTCATTAACAGATATTTGTGATCAACATCTGTGATGTTGGTTAGGGCTGCCATAGTTAACACCATAACAAGTATTAACTCAGGAACCTCTTAAGAGGATATGAGAGCCCATGTAAATGCCTGTAGGCACTTTTGACACATACTCTCCATTAGCTCTCAGTTACTGCCACTGAGAGAAAATCAAAAACTCAATCTCAAAAATTAAGTGCACACACACACACACACTCAAACATGCTACAATGTATTTGTAAGTATGCCATGTCTGTAAAATAAAAATGTATAATTTATTACAAGTTCACTTTATAACAATTTAATGTTTGAATCTGATTATTCACACATTAGCTGTCGATTAATCACTATTAGTCATGATTAATTGAGATAACCATTCCATATGATAATTTTTTTTTCTGTATATTGCTGAAACAGAAAGTGCAATATCAACAGGTTTGTTTTTTTCACCTGATTTTTGTGACTTATCCAAATGATTCAATTATTACTATATATATAGAAAAATATAGAAAAAATAAATATGTCTTCATAAAGTTGGTGAATTTCAGTAATCACTCAATTAAATTAAAGTTTAATTACACTAATATGTTTCACTCAGGTGACAGCTTGAGTAAAACTTTTACTGAACTACATTATACTCTTACCCGCTGTTCATCAGGCTGTCCTGCAGCACTTTACTCTCACTTGTCAGCTCACCTGCTGGGGAAGAGCAAAATATTGATTTACAATTGTGAACACAGTACTCTAAATAGAAAACACAGGGTAGTTGTCTAGACAGAAAAGCCGGTCAATAAAAATATTTAGTGTCAAAAAAAAAAAAATCTGCAAAAACCCGATCAGTTTCCATGCTATGGAGGTTGGAGAAAACAAACACGGTTCTTACTGTTAAAGTGAGCGGGCACCATGACAAAGTCATCGGTATCACAGGAAGATGAGTTCTTGCTGCTGCCACCTCCTCCTGAGAAATCCTTGAGGAACAACCCAGTTGCCTCCTGGGTAGGGGAAGCCACAGCTTTGGCACGCAAATGCTGAACCTCAGCCAGGGACTGCTGCAGGGAGGCAAACACAGTGGGCTGTAAATAAACAGTTGTGATGCAGAAATACATGTGTAAACACTGAAGCTGGGGGGAAAAACACCAGGCAGATGAGGTTCTCACTTAGACCCAGAGAAATGAAGAAGAAGAAGAAGAGGGGAACGAACCGGTGGTGAGGCCAAGTGAGATGTGGAGGAGCTGCTGCAGGAACTAGCCGAGGCAGAGCTGGGGAAGCAGGTCATGGTCACAGTTGGAGTCACTGGAACAACAACAACAGTATGTGAGCAGAACGTCTGCCTGTTTGTTACAAAAGTGTTAGAGCATTAGGAGTAATAAGGACAACTTTTAGGTATTTCTATAGTAACTTTAAGCAATCTGTGGTAACATTTTGCAGTTTTTGTAGATATCCTCTGGCAAAAGAAACCAACAACTTGAGACTAAAGCTGTAACAATACACTATTATCACCATACGATATGATTTTTTTATTCACAATACGATTTTATCACGATTCTTTTAAAACAAAATGAATTCCAGACAAATTATGACCAAATACAATGATGCTTTGTAAGAACTATGCTAAATACCATTACGAACTGAAATGGTACTGCACTAGAGTGTGTAGTGTCTTGGTATCTATCTTTTTTGGGAAAAAGCAGCTTACGCCGTAAAAAATGCACACCTCATTTTTATCAACAAATGCAAATCATCACGCATTTGTATCAGTTTTTAAGCGATTCACAATGCATTGTTACATCCCAAATTAACACTATTTTTGTTTAACGTTTTGTCTTGATTTTTGTTGCCACTAGATTTTCCCTTTATCTTGTCTTAGTCCATTCTCTTAAATATCGTTTGACTTCATTGCTATTTGCTCTAAATGTTTTCTTAATTTTAGCTATATCATTATTATATTTTAAATCTTCTGCTAAAAATATATCATATACCAAATGGATGACACGGTCAGACTACCGACAAAAAATTAAACTTAATAAAAAATGTAGTATTTGTTTTCACTCACGCTTCTTCATGGATGAACTGGCCTCCAGGAAAGGATCACGGAAGAAGTCGTCTGAAGACAAAACACCACGGTGTACTTAGTGAGGTTTTGGACACAAGTAGCATCAACGATATTCAGATTAATGAGCAAAACACAAATACGAATAGAGTGATGTCTCTGTTAGATGACACACAGTTGTTGTTTACTTTTTTGATTAATTTATTACAGTATTTAGAGGTGTGGCATGCATTTCGCACCAGGGCCTTCAGTGGCATCCTGTCTGTACAAATCCACATCCTAATAACCCTTATTATGCCTATAAAAACAATCAATATTATGTAGAAATGTAGTATAACGAATCATTATCCATCATTCACTCTATAACTCCACCACATAAACACTCTCCCCCCTCTGTCCCCCAATTCCCCCCCCCCGCAACCCCACTGCTGTCCATCTTCCCCCCACCGTCCTCTCTGCAGACTCTCACACTTCCATAACAATGCTAATTTTGATTTTACATGAATACCACTGTTAATTTGACTCTACCTGAATACCACTGTTAATTTTACTTGAATACCACTGTTGTTTACTTGAATACCACTGTTGATATTGACCTTACTTGAATACCACTGTTACCTCTACTTAATAGCTGAACACCATGTTAATGTAATGTCATACCAGAATCTCACTGTTTATTGAACATCTAATGTCATACTAAAATCTCACTGTTTATTGAACATCTCTGCCTAAACTTGAATGTCATAGCTACCTCTACGTGATAACCTAACTCTATAGCGGTTACATTTCTATCCGTCAAGTACTGATACTTAAATTGCACCTTATCCCACTCAATCACTTTACTCTAGTACTGAGGCACTACTCATAAGTATATACTGTGTATATAGCCTCATTTACAAACCGGAACTATGTTCACTATTGTTCCCTTAACTTATTCTACGGCTCTTCCTTTTATTATCTTTTACTCTAGTTTGCTATTATCTTTTACTCTAGTTTGCTCTCTTTTGCTTGCTTTTTTTTCTTTGTTTTGATTGGTTTATTTTAACTTCCTTACCTGTGTATTCAATTGGATACCTCTTTTTTTGCACTATCATGCTGCTCAGCTGTACGTTGAATTGCCCCTCGGGGACAAATAAAGTATTTCTGAATCTGAATCTGAAGCTACCAACCACCGTAACCGGGATTCGATCCTGCCCAGGAGGTGAACCCTGGGGTTCCACACCAATGACAGAGACATTGCCTCTGGGCCACCCCCATGGTAACTCATGTAGCCATAATACTGCAATGAAAATGTAACTTTTATGCATGCAAGTCACTAGATGCAGTGTGCTAGATTTAAGAAGTCATTTTTTGACCATCCAATCAAATCACTCAAATCTCCAATGTAACTGTACGGCTGTGAGAAGGCCCTGATTCTGAAGGGGTATTGAACATTAGCTGTGATGCTTAGACCCCCATCTAGAAAAGTGTTCTACCCCAAAAAAGATGCTCTCGCCTTAATGCCACATATTTGATAGCTTAATATCTGAATGTAATGTTAACTAACCAAAGTCCATGCGATCTTTGGGGTTCCTCTGCAGCAGACCCAGGAGCAGGTGCCTAAGGTGACTGGAAGTCTCTCTGGGGATGCTGCAACCAAACATGATAGTAACATGTTAGTAAGTTTCATGCTAGGCAGAAAAAAACACAATTATCTGAAAATCACGATACATAATGAGAGATAAACCTGTTGCATTCTATAAGGTGACATTTTAATGTCTTTTAAATCTCAACTAATTTAGTCTAAGAACATTGCAGAGAACAGGAGTCAGTCCCTTGTCAAGCAGCTGCTGACGCCGGGCTGTGAAAGTGTGTGTTGTTTGGTGATTTGTTGGAGGTTTGTTTTTTCCTACTGTTGTAAATTAACAGCTGTGCAGCTGCTGAAAAAGCCCAGCTGTTGTGTTTGTGATGGAGGTGAGATTCTCTTAGTCCTTACTTGGGGATGAGGTTCTTGTTTTTTTCATAGAACAGCCGGAGATCCTGAGGACTGCTGGCCTGGAGGGCACAAAAAAAAGAGACAAAAAGGTTGAAAATGTGTTTGAGGAAAAACTACTACACACTCCATGGTCACACAAAAAGCTTTACTTCCCAGTATTTGCTTTGTGTACAATTATTTTTAGGATAATTTGCTGCAATTGAGTTTTTCATTTTTTGACTAAGATGCTATGCTATTAGCTATTCGCCTGTTAGCAAATTAATTTTCTTTAAATTTGTGCAGTGCATTTGTTTTATTTTTCATTGTATTTGTACATATATTATATGATTAATGTTCACTATTTGTGAAGTCACTTATACTGATACTATATATAGTTATTTATATAAATATATTTTTTCATATAGTGTAAAGTGCTTTTAGTAAACTGTGAAGAAAAGAACAAAAAGATAGAATATAGATATTAAAAATGTTTTAAATTTGACATGAACATTAAATATGGTAAATATTGGCCAATCAACATGGAATTAAACATAAATTAGCCAAACTGTACCTAAGGTCAGCTTGTAAACAAAGGCTACAGTATAAGTAATAAATATGGTGCCAAAATGATGATTCATTGAATCATCTTGAATCATTAATGAAAATTCCTAATTGGAATTATTTTGCATTGACGGTATGTTTGATTAATTTAGCTGCAGCTTTAAGAATAGAAGCATAACATCTAGTTCAAATATTTGGATGAATTTCACCTAGAAATGAGCCAAATAAAAAAATATCTTATAAGAGCAAAAAAAAATCTTGTCATCTCAATTGCAAATTGAGATGACAGGAACTTAAACTAGAACCCCAACCCAAAACACATCGTCAGTGAAGCAGAAATAAGGAGACTCTGTGGAAATGTTGCAGAACTGGTTCTGATGAGGTTGCAGCTTCATTTACATCTCAGAGATTTATCTCATCTCTGACGTTCAGACGACAGAGTCCTTCATTTCCTGGCTCCTGCTTGACTCTCACGTGATCAGCACAGAGGAGACACACTGTGTTTTTTCCAGCATGTTTCATTATCACAGTGTGTGAGTCTTGTAAATGCCACAGTAGGACGAGAGACTCCAGGAAAATAACATATATACACATATAAAATATAGTGTGGGTGTTTACCTGAAAAGGTGCTTTTCCTGTCAGACACTGAAAAACTATAGTTCCTATACTCCACAGATCAGCCTTGGCATCGTAGTTTTGGGACATGATGACCTCAGGAGCCTGATGGAGGAAAAACAATGAGAACCTACATAAGAACATATATTATTTACACACCCAACCGCACATTCTTTATGGAAATACATAGCAAAAAGACGAAAGACAGAATAAATACAACTGATAAAAAATGTATGCACACTAGGGGTATAAGAAAATAATGATACACTGAAATATCTAGATATTTTGTTTCGTATTGATGTACAGCACTATGTTTTTTTATTTTTTAACAATTAACATTAAAATACTCATGGTTGGTTTATTTTATTTTGCTTTTATTTCTTCTCTAGTCTTTATAAATGTAGATCCCTGTTCCAATTTTAGTAACCTGATCATCATCCCTTTAGTATCGCACTATATCGCTTTATATCATATTGATGCCGTTGTATTGTGACACGTATCCTATCGCCAGATTCTTGCCCATACACACCCCTAATTAACATGTTAAAGAAATACATTGAAAACAATAAACATACATGGACCGTTATGGATTGTAGACAATGATGTGAAGTGTGAAAGTGTCAGGGCAGTTTCTAATTGATTAAGGTAATAAAACACAGAGGATGGGGGCAGCTACACAGAAGGCTCTTTGCATTTGGTCCTTGACCCTAATGATGGATGAGTGAAGGTCAGCATGGGCAGAGGTAGGTCACTTGAGAGGACATGAGGGTGAGCAGGTGGGTTTGGAATTAAATTTCAAATTGAACTGGGAGCTAGTGTAGATGCAGGAAGATGGAGGTGAGGTGTTTTTAAAGCTTTTCATGAAGATGAACTGTAAAATAAACTGTTGTGAAAAACAAGTCTGGATAAAATGAAAGCCTGGATTAGAGTTTCTGAGGAGGAATAGAGACTGGAGATATGTTTTGATGGTGGATAAAATCTGATAGATGTGAAACACCTGCCATTCAAACATGAAGTGACTGTTGAAACGGTGGTTGATACGATGGTCTTAAGTGATGAGGATAGAGTGAAGTTGTCGATGGAAAGGTAAAATAGTTGAGCGGAAAGAGAGTGTGGTTTTGGATTACTGATAATTTCCGACTTCTCTGTGTTGGAACAGAATTTCTAACACAGCAGCAAGGAAACCAGTGAAAATGTGCTTCAAAGTGTCAACTGAACTGTGCTCACCATGTACATAGGAGACCCACAGAGTGTTGCTGCCATCATGTTGTTCTGAAGGTGCCTGGCAAAACCAAAGTCAGCTGCACACAGACAGAGAGAAAACAGGAGCAAAAATTTGTTAGAGTTACTGTTTGATGCTGGGAGAGAAATGTTTTGAATTCAAAAGAATTAATTCAAAAGTGTCAGAAGCCTAAAAGCACAACAGATAGCTGCAAAATAAACAAAGGAAACCCGGCAGTGATGCAAGACCCAGCTCCCATGGAGGGACCCATTTTCTCCAGAGGAAAAATAATTAATAGGCTTATGGATTAGCTTAGTACTCACTCAACAACAAACTGTGGGTTCTGCTTCTGTGCTTTAACTGGAGAGATTACTTGTTGGTACAACTTCAGTTTTTAGGTCAGACATGACGACACCACAGATATTCTTTTTTTTTTAATTACAATACATTTCCTTTAACGAGATTAGTTCCACAGTCTTAAAGGAGTTCATGTTTTCTCTGGAAAACTCATAATTAAGTCTTGTACAAATGAGCCAGCCAAGTAAGCTAGCTAATTCGTTCATTGTATCGTTCTTGCATAAATGAATTTAAATATAATTTTTGGAAAATATTAAAGACCTTATCAGTCAGATAAATCCTTGGAAATAATTAAGGGTCTGCACAACATTTATCCACATGCCTCAGGACAGTTAAGGAGAGCTAAAAATAGTTCAGTGCTTCCATAGTGTAGTGGTTAGCACGCCAGCCTTGTAAGCAGAGAGCTGAGGAACCACATAACCCTAATAGTGCCTCCTGTGGCCGGTTCTGTCAGTTGCAAAAACTCACACTGTAAATTTTCCCATTTTGGGACGATTAAGGGACTCAATTTATTATTATTAATTATTGTCTAGAAGCAGCTCCTGAGTCTGCTAAGTATGGTCAACAGTTTCCACTGCTTTACTCCATTGTGTCAATGTTAAGGTTAAACCTACCAATCTTGATGCAGGTGTTGTTGGAGTGCGACTTGCGTCCTGCTGGATAGGAAAGCAGGATGTTCTGGGGTTTCAGGTCTCTGTGGATGATGCCCTTGGCCTTCAGGACCCTCATGGCCCCTGCAATCTGCTGTAGAAAAACCCGAATGGTGTCCTCACTCAGTGTGCCTTTGGCTGCAGGTGAAAAACCAGGAAAAACAAATGACTACCTTCGGTTTACAGTGTGTGGAAGGGATTTGGGTTTATTTTAATCACCCCAGTGAGAAGCACATGCCACAAACCACTTGTGGAACTAATTTCTGCTCTCCACAAGAACAACAACGTCTATTAATAGAACAGGACCACTCTTCAGTGAATTCATGAAGGTCTCTGGTCATCAAGGTCATCATATTGTTGGGAATCTGAGGATCACTATTTAGAGTCTGCCAGACAGATTTAGCAGACACACACAAAGTTCAATGTCAGACGTGACAAGAAGTGTGTCGACCCATTCGGTGCAATTTATCAAATGTGGTCAGAATGGAGGAATATTAATGACTATTCCAATTTTTTAGCATAGACAGCATTGCATTATTATTACACAAAGAGACAGTGGTTGTGTCCCACATAATAGGACAAAGTCCAGAATATAAAGATAGAAGTCCTAAGTCTCGACTACTTCAAGGTTTCCACAGATAATAGTGAAGGTACTAATGTGTGCGTTATTCCCCTGAGACTCCAGGTGAAAACTTTACAGCTTTCACTTTTCTTATTACATCTTCAACTAAAGACAAATAATCATTAACCACAGGCAACAGAGAAAAAAAAAACTTAAACCACTTCATGAAAATACTGACACTCCAGGTCTAAGACTTGCCACAAAACCTTCTTTCCAAGAAGTAATGTGGAGCTAAATGACATAGACAGAACTTTGTCATGTAAACAGGGTGAGAGTCAACAGCAGCTATGTTTGGTCCCTGAAGGTGGGGCTTCTGAACTAAGATCCAGTGTTGTGTATCTAGTTATAAAATAAACAGAAGCCATTGCAAAAACCAGGTCCTGGTTTGCTCAATTTGAAAGCATGACAAAAACATGCAGAGTAAGACAAACATATTGATCTTTTAATATCAGTTAGAACTGAATATATTGAAAACTGGAACAAATATTTACAAAAAGAAGAATTGAAGAATTATCTACAGATATATAAGATAATCTGGCTAAGCTACAAAAGTAAAATTTGTCAGACTTTCATTCTACTACAGGCATGTCTGTCTATTTCAAGTATAATTTTAACAATCACATTAATAACAATAATAACAACAACAAAAATAATAATAATACATTTCCCACTTGTGGGATCAATAAAGTTCAATCTAATCAAATCTAATCTATGACATTAAAAGAACACCTAACACTCCTCTATCTGACACTGGAGAAGAGAAGGCATTGACCAATATGACCTCAGTGTTAAGAGTCCATTTTTTCACAACATAAAAGGTGCAGGTGCTTTTGTAAATAACCAAAAGCACCAGCTCTTCCCAGACCAAGGGTCAAGGTGCAAAGGACTTTCTGGAAATCCTTGTGTGACCAGAGAATAATGTCATGTCACTTATATTTCTATATATTATTTTTTTATCTCCTGTATCTGTTTAGACTAAAGATTTTCTATGTTGTCAAGAAAAAAAAGGCTACTCATTGATTTTTTTTTTCCCCTGTGTAGCTTTCAGCAGATGAATGGTTGCACTTACAGTGTAGGTAGTCGGCAAGGTCACCCCCATTGCAGTACTTGGATTTGACACAGAAATTATCAAGAAAGAGACAAAGAAAAAAAAAAGGAAATTATACAGCGTGCAAGCAGAGGCTTTGACACAACAGATTTTTCACAGCATCGTCTCACATGAATGTGCCAGGATAAGATGGATTGTGTTATGACAGACAGGTCACTGAAAAACTGTCCAATGATTCAGATCATTTCACAAGACTCAGAGATAACCACAAGGAATAGTGCAACTTAGAAAATCACACATCACACTGAAATGTTTTAGAAATCCTAGAGTGTGAGTAAATATTGATACACTGACCTATTGTGAAATTTTGTTTTGCAATACTGTATCGATATTCTACAGCACTGTATCAATTATTTTATATTAACAATTAACATACAAATTTTGTTAGTGATAGCAGACTAAAATTATAGTAATAACAAGGCTCAGAATAAGGCTTCCCATATAATGAAAATATGTACCTAGATACAAAGTGTGGTTGAGAATGAGAAATGTACATTTGTAAATAAGGAACTTATTCATTTCAAAACATTGTATTTCAACATTTTATTTATTATTTTATTTGCATTGATTTGATCTCCATGTAAATAGAAGCATTGTTTCTATTAAACATATCATTACAGCACCAACAGGGTGCATATGAAAATTTTTTATAATTTTGTCCCAAAGATGCACTTTTTTCAAACACTGTCTACATTTTCCTGCAGTTCTTTATGTTCAATTATTAATGAATAAACACTGGGTTGTGACATTTAATGCCTTTCAGTGTTTGTTTATCATGGAAAATTTGCCAAGAACTTGTGTCTGAGCAGGTTTTCACCAAGCACATTACAATAGAAGCCAGAATGGGATATAATGAATTCACAACATCTGAAAAATCTGATGAAAAACAGTTATATCTGTGTCCATCGATTCAGCTAAATGGAATCTTCTGGAAACTGAGTAACGGTCATATTTGCCTGAGGACACAGCTAATTATAGAGCAGCACCCTGACAGACGCTGCCTGCAAAGAGAGACAATACAGCGCTTAGCAAACAAAGGCAAGCTTACCTCCATGACCAGGTACACTGAGCTGGCAGTTTCCTAACGGGAGAGAAGATAAGGAGAGGCATAAACAAACACAAGTCAGTGACAAACTGAGGGAACAGCAGGTGGTTGTATTTACTGACCGTGTCCGAGGAAATTATTGCAGTAATTTGGTCGAGAGAAAAACACAAACCAGAGAAAACAAAACCAATCTGATTTTCTTTTCTTTTTTTTGTATTTTAAAATCTTTGAAACAAGAATAATACCAAAGACCATCATTGCAACTAAAAAAAACCCCAGCACCACCATATAATCAATAATTTAAAGATAAGTTAATCAAACATTCAGAAAAACACTAACAAAAAGCTAAACCTTTGCAAACAAACCACAAAAACAAGGTAACACAATATTATAAGAGTAAACCAATAACAAACTCCCCAAATTAATAAAAGATTGCCATATTATTGCAGTGTAAAATGTGTCAAAAGTAGCTACAAAAAACGCCAAGAACTTCATATTTAATATAATATATGAAATCTAGCATTTAGTGTAAAAAACAAAATATTTTTGCAAATATAGTTAAAAATACCAACATTTAAACATTAGCCAAATTATCACTAAAAGATGCCCAAGAATATCTCGTCAAAATTAGAACAATTTGACAAATATTTTGACAAATAGCTAGACAATAATTAATGAAAGAAACAGTAATCTGGGATAACTAAAAATTAATGCTAAATTGATGTTAGCCCCAAAAAGCTATGTCAGCATTACAACAGCAAATATCACGAAAATAGAGTGAAAAACAGCCAGAAAATAGCCAAACCAGGAGAAGATAAAGGTTTGTCTACACAATTCCTTTGTTCCAACAGATTTATAGGATACACACTTAACTGATATTAATCTAAGAGAAACTTAAACAGATTAAATATTTAAATGTCAAATCACCCAGTGCTGTTCAAATATTGAAGTAGAACTTTTTTTGATAATTGCAAAAAGACTTTAAAACTATGTAAACAGTTCACAGATATGATGCTTTCTTAGACAACTTGACCGAGAGAGATGCTGGGGTAAATGAGTCTAGTGTGTCCCCACTGGCCTCGCTCTTATCACAGGGCAGCAGATGAGTGCGACCTCATCTCAGTATCTCAGTGGAGCCACCAGCCTGAGGCAGCAGTGTTGTCTTTGGTTCAGCTGACTCAGCAGCTCCCTTGTCTAAGGCTGGATGGCTTTGTTTTGACTGAGGATTGATGGTGACCAGGCAGCCAGTCAGTCATCCAGTCAGAAAGCCAATCATCTGGTTTCCACAGGACAGCCCGGTTGTTGTGACTGAAGAGCTCAGCTCCAGAGAAGAGGGCGTGTCATTGAGTGTACAAAGGTAAACAATCCTCTGGCACCACAGCCACAGCCAGGAAATCATTTTCTGAAAAAATGTCCAACTCCATATTTGTTTTAGACTTTTATCAACCAACTGTGGAGCTAAGTTTCTCTACTGAACACAACTCCAATATTGTCTGTTGTACACCTGACAGACACAAGTGCTGTGGTATGTATAATTAGAAGCTAGCTTAAAACCAGCTGAAAGCCTGCTAGACAACAAACCTTGGGTAACCAAGAAAAACCAAGGTTGGTGGTAACAAAGCTTTAACATAGACAAAAACAGCATAAGATAACACTAGGATAATCCGGACTAGCAAAAACAACATACAGAAATAACGGGTTAGCCAAAGATGATATTGTCCACATTAGACATTTCCCTGGAAATTACCAAAATGCCTCCTAAAACGTTAACAATAACACTGCAACAAATATCTAGTAATTTTGTGTAAAAAGTGTGAACAGTAAAAAAAAAAAAAAAAAAAAAGGAACTAAGATTGTTGTGCTGAGTTTGGTTTTTAGTTTCTCTTTGGACTTGTTGGACAGCATGGCTGTTGGATCATCTACTCCAACACCCTCTACATGCTCTCTCACTGTGTCACATAAAGCTTGTAATCTTAGAGTCCAGCTCCAACCATCACTGACAACCAGAGGTGACGCTGTGGGTTAGTGTACAGATAAGAGAGTGGAGTGTTTGGGGAAAAGTGCTGTGTGTGAGTAAGGACGTGTAGAGTGACTGCAGAAAATTGAAGATAATGATGAACTTTTTTAATCTCTGCTCAGTTATGTCTTGGAACCTACATTATCTACTCTCTAGCAGGCACATAATTTCAGTTTGAACACAGGGCATAATTGTCAGGTCAGTAGCTTCTTTTCGGGGTAAGAGTCAAACAAAGACTATTTTTACACTGCAGGTAGAAGTGGGCTAAATCCAATGTATTTACCCAAACGTGGCCCATATCAGGGTGTACATCACAAATCAGAATTTTTCAAATTGACTTCCATGTGTGATACTAGATAGGATGCCTATCCTATATTATCAGCAGATACCATTAATTATCACAGAGCTTTGCATAAATAACAGTGATATCTTTAGTGTCTACCATGAATTAGCAATGCTGTCCCTCGGCCCTTGTGGAACACTAGCTCTGAACTGAAAAGTTTTTTGAGGCTCCAACTGGGTTGCAAGAATCGTTGCTCTAGTGTTTCACTCTACCTCAGCTTAACCACACAGGTATCTCAAATGTTAAGATAAAATTAAGTGACTATTACAACTTAATCTACAATAATTATAACACCCATAATCGTCTGGAAAGTTCTAAAAAAGGTTCCAGAGCTTGAACAACCCTGTGCACGGTTCATGTCAGAAAATGGTACTTGTCCAGCGACAGCACAGTGTGTTTGTCACAGTGAGATTCAGACTGGTTGATAGGTGACACAAACTGCTGCTGCTGCTGCATCTACTGTCTACACTTTGTTTTTACCTTTTCTGTATAATGAAAACATTTATTTATTAAACCCCATTTTTATATTGTTGTATTCAACTTTGGGGGACACGGATGAATACTCAGTTAGGGTTCCATTAGTAAAATAAACTACTAATATACATATATTTGTATGCATATTGGACATCCTGATAATCTTAGCAATATCTGATAGTAAATTGAAACCAGAAGATCTTTAAATTTTATTACATATTCTTTCTGGACATTTTTGTCTGGTGGTGCAGCGTGGGTTTTCTTTTCTTTGGTGAAATATATGTGGTGGTCCAAAAAGGTTTGAATGAGTCAGGGGCATAGCTTAACAGCAGCTTATCGTTTAGCTTAACTCTCTCCAATGAAAAACTTTTGACATGATAGTCTTGAAATGTTCCAAAATACACTTAATACACAAAATACACACCAACGTTCACTTCTCTCCCTCATGTTCACCACTTTGTATTGCATCCTCATAGTCAAGTCTTTTTTGTCCTCATCCCTCAGGTTATAAACTGACCCAATAAACCTGACATGAACTCTAATCACTTCACGTCTTTCAAACAGCTGCACTGAGAGGCCTGAGGCAAAGGTGCAGCACGTAGACCAGGACTCTACACTTAAAGCTTTAATCAAGGAGACTGTCTCAAACAGTCTACATGGCTGCTGAGTGGAGGTAAACACAGAGGGACCAAGACAGAGTTTAACAGGACACCAAGCATGACAACTTCCAAGCACAGGAAGAAACCACAGGCTAGGATGGATGGTTCAACAGTATCAAACAGAAACAATGACTCAATTCACAGTAAAAACAGTTTAATCTGGGAGTAAAGTGAAGCTCGAGTCATGTGTCACATCAAACAGGCCATCTGTTCCACTAAGAGAGTGGAGACAGCTGGGAGCAGTCAAAAAGGTGTGACAATTGAATAAGTACAGTAAACATAAGTCAGTTGTCACTGCATGTTGTCACTGCATGTGAGTGTGTTATTAACATACCTGAAAGTCCAGTAACGCAACAATGTTTTCATGTTTCAGCTCCTGAAGAAGAAAAAACATTTTTTTATATTCTAGTTATTCTCTCTCTAGTTAATTGTTACAGTTGTTTCAAAAGCTTGGAAAACAAAATGTTACACGACATACTTTTGTCATTTAAACGGTGCACTCAACAAAAATATGATGTCATCAGTCGATCAATACATTGGGGTGCTAGGTATAGTACTTGTGTGGAATATTCAAGCTTATTAATCTTCTTTTTTTTTTTTCAATGTGTTTTCATGAATTTAAAGAACCTGTAAGTCCCCAAGTATGAGAACAGTTTGAGTGAAATAAGCACCAGGGCAACTCCTTTGTGTCAGTGTCTAAAGAGAACCAACCACTCTGCTTTATATTATTCTCCATTATAATAACCCAAACAATAGGATATTTGTATTTCCAACAGATTCTGACTCACCTTGAGTATTTTGATCTCTTTCCCCAGCAGAGTCTGGGACTTAGCCAGATTCTTTTTGTTGATGCATTTGACTGCCACCTCCCAGTCATGTTTCTAGAAACACACATTAGAAGGAAGGTTAGTTGATTATGTGTCACAGATGCAAAAGACAAGATGTATTCAATTAACCCTGTATATGAAAAGACAATGAATATGAGGGTGAGTCAAAAGATTCTAAGATGAGATTTCAAAAGGAGTCTAATTTTAAAAGCTAGAAAACATGTTCATACAGGTCTCCCAGGCCTTAATAACAGCTTAGTAATTATATAATCTTCATTATATCTTTGGATATGTGTCATTATGATTTCAAAAAACTTTGACTTAGCTTTGTATATTTCTCACCGAGCACATGCTTTGTAGACATCACTGCAGAGTTTTTGAGAAAAAAAATTAAAATAAAATAATAAGAGCTCACTGATATTTGTACAATCCCACAACAACTATAGCAATCTAGACTGACTGTAACACTTAAATATACATATCTGTTGAAGTACATTGTCTCACTACTGCAATATCTACATTTACAATTTCATCTTTTTAGTAATTATTTCATAATTGCCCTCCAAGTTCATGTACAGTGACATATACTGATGTACACCTTCATTCATACACTGGACTGTGTATCAATTTCACAGCTTTTCCTCCAAATCTCAGCTGAACTTCCTTTTAAACACTACAATTCCTACAAAACTGGTATTCATACTAAAAACACAGAATTACAAATAATTTATCTTAACTGTGGAACAAGAAATTCTTTAAATTGAATTAAATAATTAAAAAAAATGTATTTAGTTCCCTGAGGATAAATCTCAAACCGTCTGAACCCTCACTCAGGTCTCATGTCCAGCTTGACTTTTAGTTTATCTTTATACCAGTGAGATAGCTCCACGCCCCTACCATGGAATTGATTGCTATATATGACTTTTTCTCTGCCTAGTTACTTGACAGAGATAAAACAAAATGAAAGTGCTCTATTGGTTTTGAAAGCAAGCATTATACCCCTAAATATATTGTGTGCTAGTTTCCAGAATTATTTAATGAACATCATAAAGAACATCATAAAGATCGTGTTCAGGCAAAAATTGATGACATCAGATGACACCACTTTCCAAATGAACCTCGTCTCTTGAAGACAAAGGTGATTGTTGAAAGCACTTTGGTAGACCTACTACAAGTTCTGTAATATATATTTATAAATGTAAGAACTGTTCACATTTGACTTATTTAAACAGTTTTCCATTCTTTCACAAATATCATGCATGGTATAATCGGCATGTGCGACCAAGTTAGAATGAAAAGTTGGATAATTAGACACTTATATGATATATTTTCAAATGTTTATTAGCCTTGCTTAGAAGTTTAGTATGTTACCCTAGATACCATTTTATCCCAGTCAACATAATTGACATTATAAGGCTGCTTTAAGTTTATATACAGTCTCTCAGAAATAGCCACTGTGGCCGAATTTAGAGAAATTGTTTAGTGTATTTTTTCGTGTCTTTTCTCCATTAGTGTCTGTTATTTTGAGGCACATCCTGTAGACGTGCAGTTGCAGTTAGGCCTTTTAAGGTCGTACTATGAAAACAAACGGACCGGCTGGTGAAAAAAAGACGAATTATGACTAACCAACACCTTACCATTTTGCGCCAGTCAGCAGAACAACAGTATCATGTATTTATAATGTTAAAACTGTAATTCCAATTATTAATGAAGATTGTGCCGACCTCTCGATGTCTGCCTTTGAAGACGACTGCAAATGCGCCATGTCCTATGAGGTCCTTCCGACTGAACTCAAATTTTCCAACCGTCTCCATGTTCGTGGCCAAAATTTCCGTAAAATTTCCCACTAGGGTCTGGAAAAATGCTGATGAAGACTAGAGAAAGCAAGAGGCCTGGGTTTAGCCTGGCTGTCAGCAGGTGTGAAGCAGCAGCGGCGGCGGCAGTAACAGGGAGCTTCACCCCGTCTTTCACTGGCCATGGGCTGCCTTCCACACAACAAGCTGTCCTCCTCTCCTCTCATGTTCAGCGGCTTGGATGTTTTAGGAGTTTTACCTCCTAACGAAGTACCCTGCTCCTCTTCATGTCTCTGACAGCCACGTCGAATCAACTAAACTTGAAAAAACGATTACAACAGAATCGTCGCAGTTAAGTCCTCGACCTGCCACCTTAAAAAAAAGCAGCTCGCAGCCTTTTTTGTTTATATACAGAAGCTCGCGGTTTCCCTTCCTTAGAAAAGGTAAAATATACGCTAAGGTGAATCCTTAACTGTTATGAAAACGTCAAAGCATCAGCGAACAGTTTAGAAAAGACTTTTAATCGTTTACAGTGTGCAGGAGAGTCGTCCAAAACTCCCAGCATCGATAGTCCAAACAAACAGACGCCGTCCAGCCTATTCAGGAATACGCATGCGCGAAACACTCGGCTCCAGCTGTAGGCTCTGACGTCAAACCTACAGTGAATGTGTGAGCGCTTATTGGTGGCTTTCTAAACGTAAACAGAGACTAAGGTTTGTTTCTATCATCTGTTGAAACTGTGTCGACGTTACCTTTGATCTCCATGCTATCCCCTTTGCTCAAATCAAAGTCAGGTGAACTGAGATCTAAGGCAAGTGAAGTCTTTCTCCCATTAGTTTTCAATGGGAGAGAAATCACAGAAAACTACAAATATCTTGGGATGTGTGAGGAAATTTAGAAAGCGGGTTGGAAGCATTGGTGTCCATTAGTCACAGGATATTTAAAATCCTGAATGGGCGACAGCAATGTTTACCAAATTGTGGGCCGTGACCCAAATGTGGGTCAGGTGGCTAAATATAGCACGCCAGAAACCTTATTTAAACTCTGTGGTGCCTGTACCTCCTCTAAACTAAACCTTAATATGTATTTATGTATTTTGGTCAGATGATAAACCAAACGAACCAGGCTGCCTGCCATTTTATTTAGCCTAAGTAAACCTATATGAGAGTCAAGTGGGGATTAATACCCAAGGGTGAGTCAAAAAGTTGTAAAACATAAGAGTTTATCTTAAATTTAGTTGCTTGTAATTCCATTCAATTTTGGAAAATTCCCCCAATTGCAGTTTAAAATCCTATTTGATCCGGTGCCAATGAAAATAAAATAAATAAGTAATAATATTTTCTTCAATTTGTCTGAGATGGATTTCTAAAGAGGTGTCGGTAAAGGAAATGAATGGGAAACAGGTCGGGGGGAAAACAATCCAGGAGTGATGCACTTAAGGTATAGTTTTCTGCCCTTGGCATTTTCATTGAATGACCAGGCAGGGGCAGCAGAGGACTGCGAAACAGAATGATTATATATATATATATAGATGTATACCTCTTAAAATACCAGTTGTACAAGATTTACATGACCACATGTGCACAGAAGTTGTCATGAAATTAGTCTTCATATCAGAATTTAAAATGTACAGTGTCTAAAGAGAACCCTGTGTCTTCATGACTGACAGTCCTGTGTCAGAGGAACTTCAGCTGCCTCAGCAGATCCAAACTTTGTGACAGTTATTTTTTTGTAATGCCTCTACAGTAAAGTCCAGCAGTGCTGTCAGTCAGAAGTTTTCCCCAAGTCAGAGCTAAGCTGCATACACAGTGCTGCCTGTGTACGGTCTGCATATGTTTACAGGAAATACTGATGCACTTCTCACGCACTGGAGTCGTTCAGAGCTTAAGAAAGTTCCACTGCACAGAACGGTCAGCATGTAGTTTGCTGTAAGCGGCCCAGCAGCCACTGCTGTGGGTGTCCACTCTGCAGGAGGTTTGCTTGGCTTCTGAATATTTCAGCGGCTCAGTAGCTGCTGTAGAATGATTGATGGACTACCTCTGCCCCACATTAGCTTTCTGCAGGAGAAAGAAGGTGGACGGACCCTCAGGTGATGAACTCTTGTTGTGGAACAAGACCCCAGTGAGGAGCTGTGCTCTACAAAACGCATATATAAACATGAGCTGTCATATGTGTAATGCACAGCTGGAAGACTCAAAGGTTATGAGAAAAAAAAAGAATCATGTTCATTAGTTGTGTTGTGGATATTTTACATTTACAAATCTGTACAATATGTTAATAAAATGGCAGGTTAACAAACTCTTAACTGTATCTAAAATTTAGGCAACTGGTAATTTAAGCCTACTGCAGTGGTCTTAATATCATAGGAGCACTGGGCCACTGCAACATCATCTTTCGATGTTCAATTAAAAAAAAACACATTTTAGAAAAATAGTCTTGTTAAGAATAAATACTGTGTAATACAGCAGTGCAAAAAGCAGAATACAACCACTTGATTTTTGACTTGTTAAATCACTTAAATGAAAAACATGAAAACACATTTTTTTCAAAGGCAAAATTAATTATTCTAGAAACCTACACATGGGGTGTAGGTTTTATGAGATTTATAGGCCAAAAATGGCCCTCGTGCTAAGAGTTTGTAAACCCGGGCCTACTGTTTCCTTTCAGGGTTGAGGTTGGAGCTGTGGCTAATTCAAAGAACCATCCCTACTCACATTCACACATATGGTCAGTTTAGAGTTAACAAAATTCAGCCCTACGACAAACCAACAGGAAGTTGCATCATTTTAACTTCCTTTTTTCTTTATTTTTTGTTGAAAAAATACCAGATGCAATCTATTCAAGGATTCATTACAATGACGTGAAATCCAATAAAGAAAAGTCATCAAATATATAAAAAAACATTTCGGTCTGTGCCGTGTTTTTTTAGACATTAGAGGTGAATCCACGTCGATGAGATGTGTTTAAAATAGAATAATACTTACAGCACAACAACGCCACCTTGCGGTCACAAAAAGTTCTGTAACACAGCAAAAGTGAGCTTTTGAATGTGTAACAGTTGACCAACGATAGTTGACTAATTTCCCAGCTTTTAACTTTATAATGAATTATAATCATAATAAATAAATCGATTTCTGAATGCACTTGTTTGTAGTTCACTGAATACAGTAAATTTTAAAAGAGTTTGTCACCACTGCCGTCTCACCTTGTTTCCTACTGCTGAAAACACCAACTGTGTTTACAAATATGAGTAATATGAGTGGGGAATGAAGTTCAACACTGATTAACAGCAATGAAAAGTATGATACTCACCAGCCTGACATTAAGACCCACATTAAGAGCTGAATGCCGTGCAGCTGAACGACAGCCAACGTTTGCAGATGGCTGTGAAGGTCGCTGCTTCTTCAAACTTGCACTGAAGTGATCCTGTAAGACTTGATCAGCAAAATAGTTTTTGTCTGCATACTGCATGGTACCTGCCAATAGGTCATGGCAGATATAATTAAAGTGAGAAGCAGAGAGAATTTCACTGGACTTTATTGCAACGAGCCTTGGACCAGGGAGAGACCTCCATATTCACAGTGGTAATCTCTGTTTTTCAAGAGCATCGTTCTGCTCTTAATCCCTTGAGCAACACAACTCCTTAAATGAATCAGTGCTGACTGCAGTTGTCTCATATAATAGTTCAGTAAAACAGCATCTGTGTGGAGGCACAACACTGATAAATGCATTTGGAAACTGTGGATCTTTCTACCCACAACTTGACCATCCATGTTCTCCAGGGTCAATCGTGTAGATACAACTTCTTTGATGCATCGAGGAAATTAACAATGAGGTTCTAGAGCAGTGGTCAGGAACCTGTGGCTCGCAAGCCAGATATGACTGCATCTGGCTCTCAGAGAAATCTTGGCTGGCATTTCTTAACACAATAAGTAATGAATAATTCCGCTGGTATTCAAGTTACATTACAGAAATCATATTGTTAAAAACAACATTCTCAGTCCATTTTGTAGCACACATCTCACGCTGAAAATATAAATTAAATAAAAGTACAGTTAATGATAAAATATAATAGTAAAATAAATGAATGACGGACCTCCTAACATGTGGTGGATTTACAACAGAATAGGTCTTTTTGATGAAGTTTAAAATGACTATAGAATATTTCATAACAGAAGTTGATAAAAACCCAACCGGAGATTTCTATTGTAAAGTAATTCAAATGATTGAATTAACTGCATGAAAATGTAGCAGAAGCTGCATTCATTTGTTCCAAAGTAAATCTTTATGTAAATTAATATTTTTTATTATGCAAAACTCAGGAGATTATAGAAGAGGTTTTTTTCATTATTAGACATTTTAATTGTTTAATATAACAAATCTGTTGTCATATATTTTGAAAAATTATCAGACATAAGAAAAGCTAAAAATGTCTCAGGGACTAATGGGATCATCAGACTTTGTCATTAGGAATGTTGGAATTAAATCTGAAATTGTCTCTCACTGATGAATCTGGATTGGCTGATGTGTGTGTGTGTTTCAGATACTGCTTTATGCCACAGGTTCAATCTTCATATGTTGGAGATCCTGGTCAGCAACATCCAGTCAGATTACATGTATATACATAATACATCGCACTGACAAATCTCGTCAATCAAATGGGTACAGACTTTGAGACCACAGCAAGAAACTGACGGCTCCGTACCTGGAAATATCATGAAGGCAACTGGAATGTAGGAAAACGCTAGAAACTAAATCCTGGCTGAAGTTGTCGCAGTAGATAAAGACACTTGCTGAGCCACAGATGAAGACGAGAAGCTAAAACTCCCATCATCCCACACTGTCACTTTTAACCCTTAACACTTGTCTTTTAACAGCAGGGTCGATGCCTCTGTTGAAACCTCAGATTGTACAGAAATGAACCTGTTCCCTGGTCTATGTGGGCAAAAAGTGGAGTCCAGTGCCACTTCTTTATGGAATGTGATGGTAAAAAAAAGGACCAGAACTCTTTCTGACAACTCTGCCAAATGATCCTCTCAGCACTCAGTCCTAAAACAGCTCTCTCTCTCTCCCTCTCTCTCTCCCTCTCTCTGCTGAGTTGTGCTCCCCCCTCAGCCTCCTCACCTCCTCCCATCTACTCCCACTCTCTTGACAGCATCACTTTTCCACAGTGCAGCGGCTGCGAGAACAATTGCACTTGAGTGTGCAGACACACACGATTAAATACACAAACTGTTTAACAGAAGACTACATGGATCAGTTCTCCTGTAGCGGCTGTTGGCATTTCATCTTCCTCTCGCTGCGGCTGGAGTTAGTGATTCTGGCATCTGTCAGCTAATGGGCCTTGGAGGTAGGACTGCAGTAGAACTTTAAATTAGAAAATAAAGCCATTATTTCCTTTTCTCCACATCAGCGCTAACTGCCTCAACGTCCTCTCACCTGTCTGTCCTTGTCTGTCATTTCCATTTTAACAGGAAACTAATGTCTGTAATGGCGTCTATTTCCTGCACCAAAATCCATAGAGAAAATAAACATTTTTAGCTCAAGGTGACACAAAAGCTGCTGGTTCACCACAGCCCCATTTTATATATCTGTGTTAATTAGTGGAATCCAATCAAGTGTTGAACACCAGAGTCAATTAATGTCATGTTTGAACTTACTCCTGGAGTCAACAGTGGACTGTCCACTCTCTATGTTATGTGATGCAAAAACCAGAGGTGGAATTACATTTACTCATGTTACTGTAATTTGTAATTAGTTTTTGTTAGAAACCTTCTAATTTTTTAAGTAATTTAGGGAATAGGTAATTTTCCCTATTTTACCTTTTACTTAAGTACATTTTAACTCAAGTATTTCACTTTGCTACATTTAAAAAAGTTAAAAAAATTAAATGCGGGGACAATACAATCTGCGTTAATTGAAAAAGAAAATTGCGTGTGGCCAGATAACTTTGACTGAAAGACAGCTGGTGCCAAACAAGTGGAGAAGGAGATACTTGACCATATCTCAACCATGTCTTTGTTTTTAAATGCAAATGAGGCAATAACTTCATCATGCGATGCAAAATGTGCCTGCCCCAGCAGACAGAGAAATCTCCACATCAAACCTCCACGTCAAACCTGTTTCCCAAACGTTATGTTTATTGTTTGGTTAAAACCTTTCTCCGTTAAGAAAAATGTGCCTTCGTGATATCAATTATTTTCACTTAGCTTAGCATCCATACAGATAGCTTACATTTAAAGTAACAAAGTAACTTTTAATCAAAGCAAATTTTAAATTAAGTAATTTTTTACTTTTACTCAAGTAGATTTTTAGGTTGGTACTTTTACTTGAGTAGAATTTAAGCAAACTAAAAATACTTTTACTTTACTACATTTTTTTAGTAATTTTTCCATTTCTAGCAAAAACCAATGGTTTTTCCTTCGGACACTGGTCTAGAAATTTCACATAAGCTTCAGCTGTAACTTGTCCTTAAAATAGTGCAGACTTAGGCTGAAGTTTATATATGTGATTAAAAGTGAATTTCCAGTGTGTCAAAGTTAGGTTTGAATTGAGTTTGACTTAAGTCTCAACAGTTTGGAAAAAATCCTGGCAAATAAAGACAATTGTTTGCACCAAGTCCGACTTGTTTCAAGTCCAAGTCACCGAATATATTACTATAACAAATATAGTGAGCAAGTGGGCTTTAAATCTGTATTAAGTACAAGTTACAAGTCACGTTGAGTCTATTACTATTGGTGGTTGTGAGCACAAGTCCAGGTCAAACATCAAGTTTAAGTTGAGTCCACAAGGTCTTTTTTTGAAGCCTTAAGAGTTACAGCAAATGCCTGTGTCCTTGACAGATATTGAGTTGTGGTCAAGTCAGGTCCCACTGACTGGTTTCACAGATTGACTCAAGTGTAAGTCAAGTCCTGGGTTCTGCGTCAAATTTCAAGTTACAAGAAGTAACTCCAGGTTAAAACCCTAGGGTTTCAGGTCCATGTCCTTGTCACATTTTTGATGGTTGTTAAACTCACAAATACTTATTCAAGCTATTTTCTCCAGGAAATTCAGTGGGAGTCTGAGACGATGAAGATAAGTTTGAGTGCTAGTCACTTTAAAAGGTTAAACACATATTTACAGCTGAAGGCCAAAATGATGTGACTCAATGATAAATCGCCACGACCAATAAAAATAAAAGCATTTTAGAAAAAGCTTCAACCGTTAAATTAAATTTTACTTTCCATACTTGAGCAAATATATGACAATGATTTGTCTGCTTGGAAACATGAGTTCAAGCTAAATTAGTTTGACAAATGGCTGAATAACATCTTGTAGCCTTTCACCCACTTATACCAGACATTTTCTGGCCATCAGACCAAACCAGTTAATTAACACCAGTCAAGTGTGTCAGGAGAAGTAAAGGAAAATTGCTGTTCTGAGTGGTGTCGCACTCTGAACTGCGGAAAGAAACGAAGTTGAAATGCTGAGGAAATCACAATGAATTTGTTTTTTTCATGTACTAAGCCGGGAGAAAAACATTGGAAGAAAAGGAAACAAAAAAAAAAACCTATTACACCAGAACAAAATAGTTATGTTTGTGTACGCAATTACAGAATTGAAAAAGTGACTGTCAACAGAATATTTAACAGTGAACTGAGAGCAGACATTGCTGTCGTTGATGTTGTTTAACAAAGTGAAGATTGGTTCCGAACAACTGAACGGAACGCCGTTGTAGTCGTGTCCCATTTATTTTCAGTCTGAGTCGACAATGATTGAGTGTGTCGAGTACAAATGAAATGCCCGAAGTCAAAAGTCTTTACTTCTACAGCTGAACTAGAAATACAGAAGCAACCAGGGTCGGGAAAATAATGGAGTACTGCGGCAGAAATTCTTGCAAAGTAATTTGCCAGTGTGTTAGCTAACTAGCCTGCAATTCAAACAACATAGAAATAAAAAAAGAAAAGGACATAAAATAGCCAAAACAAAAACTTTGTAGCTCACCATAGCAAAACAAGCTAACACTTGCCAAAATTGCATTGTATTTAATCAACCAATACAAAGAAAGGCAAAAGAAACCATTTATAAATCATGAAAACATGTTAAACACAAAAACGTTACAATTTTAGGTAAGGTTCTACTTTAACTAGAATTTGCAAAATTGTCCAGATGACATTAAATATATAATTACTGTATAAATACGAATATTACCCAAACACCAGTGACCACACGGAGGCAGCGGTCGTCTAGAGTGTTTTATTTTTTTTCTACAAAAATATTTTACATTAGAAAAACCACAGCTTGAAATATACACAATCCACTCAGGTTGTTTTTTTTTTTTTTTTGCAGTAACCATGGAACATCTCAAAACTTAAATATATTTGTCTATATTTAAAGTGTAGGTAAATATAAATGCAAGAATACTGTAGATCTGGTGGAGGGCGGATGATCATGTGACTCAAAGTAATGTGTAGTAACATTCTATTATTATGGATTAGAAAAATACAACAAGACCGTCAGCTTTTCTTTAAAAACCTGGGAGAAACTGTGAGAGATTTAAGTTAAGACGACGACGTTGAGCAGGAAAGTGTGGTAGCGTGGCTCTAACAGGAAGTCTCTTCCCTGTCCTGCTTCCAACATTCCAGCATGCACTTCTCCCTATGTAGTGGTACTGGATAGTATCTCCGCCGTCCATCCGTTAGCAGCTCCTGCTAGCTATTCATCTACCTGTCCACATCCCAGCAGGTCTTTCATGTGTCTTCCTCCCTGCACCCCATGGGGCCATTCATCTGTAAACCCAACCATCAATACAGGCTAGACTACCTCCCATGGTGCTTTTCACCTGTCTGCCTTGATTCATGCCAGGTTGTCAGTCACCTGTCCGACTACAGTATCCACTTCTCCAGTGTCGGTCGTTAGCCGCGGTTTGAGTCTTTTTAGGCAGCTCCTCCTGTCAGACCGGCTTAAATACTGTTCCCCTGTCTCTGATTGATGGACCAAAACCCCGACCATGGTCAGGACTATAACCTTGTTCTGATGTCAGCACTGCATGCTGGTAGGCATTAGACAGCTTGGCAGAAGTCTCTACTTGGCAGGTGCTATTTAAAGCAACATTTCTGACATTACTGGGAATGAGCTTCCATCTAAAGAGTTTCTTGGTGAAAGTTGGATGAAAATGAGGCAACAAACAGACTCAAAGGTGAGCTGTCAGAAAGACAAATTGACAAAATACTCATATGAAAATACCTAGACATGAATAAAGCAATATCTCTGCGTGTTTCCAGTTCAAACACTTTTGCGACTCGTGTTTCCGTCGGCAGTAGAAATACAATCTTTCATCATTTTAACAGGTTTCCATTTAGAGTCGTTGAAAAATCTCTGATGGTTTTCATTCATCCGGGTCATTTCATCCAATGTTCAGAATCAAAAAGTCAACTAGATTGGCTGGGTTCATTCTTTTAGGGTTGATAAACATAATCAACAAAACTCTTGACACAGATGCGATGATAAAACTTGTCAAAGATGTTGGAGACGCCTGAGAGAGGTTTTTTTTAGATGTTTAAATACAAAGTATTTAGGAATACATTACATATTTTATCCGAGATCTCTGTTTTTCCTTTAGTTAAACACCGAGCAATCTTTTCGGACAATAGGTGAAAAAATCCATCTCATAAATATGTTGATAGAATTATTATTATCCTCCTCTTCATCCGACTTAAACTTCAACTACGATGATGTGTTTTGGGAGGAAATCAAAGCATTTTAAGTTGACTTCTGTTAAAATCAGTACAAAAGAAGAAGAAGGGAAGCATTAGAGGAAGGACAGGATCAGCTTATGGGAGGAGAATCACAGATTTAAGTATTAAATGGATAAATTAAGCCTTTTTATTCTTTCTGATTTGTAGAGTTCAGTGAGTGACTGAACAACATGTTGGCTGAACTTGAAGGTCACTTTGTATTTTATAAACAGACAATGCTTTAGCAACCATTTCATCCGAAACAAAGTAAATGATTTCCTTAAACGCTGAAATACTTTTGAAGATAAATTTGGCAGAAATTTCCTAAAAATAAGACAATAGATGATATGGTTATATACTGCCCTCTGTCGTTGTTCTCTCTTTTTTCTTCCTATGGCAATGATCAAAATGTGTATAGCTGTAAATGTTGATCAGTGGCAAATCGACCCAGTGGGGGGGCAGCGATACCACTCGCTATGATGCCAACTGGTGTTAATTTGGAAAGACCAAAAAGTGTAGGGCCTGTGCTTGTGTGACAAACCCTTTTCAAGGGGTCTCAGCCACACCCAGCAGTCATCAGGTGAAGGTGGGGTAGAAACCTGGATGGTTTTCGTGGCTGTTGAAGGGCTGTACAAAGAAACAAAAAACCATTCACACTCACATTCACACCAATGGTCAATTAACCCTTTTCCGCATGTTTTTGGACTGTTGGAGAGAACTGGAGCCCCTGGAGATAAACACACGTGCAAACTCCATACTGAAAGATAGAGGATCGAAGCAGCAAACAGGTGACCTTCCTAATGTAAGTAAATCTGTCTGCACTGTAGCTTTAACTCCACACTATAGCCCTCCAAATTTGACTCTTACATACTTCTCCTTGGAGTACAGTTAGCAAATGAGCACCACGCTAGCTCCATAAGCACGATGGAGCATAACACAAGCAGAGTAAGGAGGCAGAACTTAGGGATCGGTCAACTGGTGCTCAGTACTGGTACTATTCTACTTCACATTATATTCCTTTGCAGAGACAAAATAGTAATTCAAGATTCTAAGCAACAAAATTGTGATTTTGTGTGAGAGTATTAAGGAAGTTGACGGCCTCTGGGAACACCAAAGAACGACTGATGTGAGAAGTCAATGCACTTTTCAAACAGAAAGGTGCTCGAGCAAAGCAATGAGTGGCATGAGAAATAAATAACAACAACAACAAAAACAGCAACAAAACATACCAATTGATATTAATATAAACAAACAGTTTTATCTAGGGCTGTGTGTCCCCCTGCCCCCCCCCGCGTCCTCCCGCTTCCAGTTTAATAATCTCTGCATTGCACCAAACCTGACAACTTAGTCCCAAGCTTTGGCATCATAGTATTTCAGAGTGGAGGGCCATCAAGAGCGTCCACAGTGGGGGTAACAGCCAGATGGGGGACAACGAGGGGCGGGCACCCAAAGGCGAAGCGGTGTCGGAGGTGCAGGAGCAAACTTCGTACCCGTTCTCCGCGTGGTCGGGGTGAAGGTGAACGTTGACCCTCGTCTCTGTTATTTTGAGCTCTGTGTCTGGAGAGTCCGACTGCATCTCTGTGCACAGGAGCCAGTCTTTGGCGATGAGGCGGGGGTATCCTGGCTCCACCTCCATGCCACTGCCAGGTACTCGCCAGTACTCCTTACCCTTGAAAAAGTAGGATGAGCCTTTACAAGAAGAGACATCAGAACAAGGTGTATCAGAAAACAATAAAACACTCGTCCTCACATGAGGGTGAACATTTTTTTTCTCCCCTTTTAGGCCGACACAAGTAAAAACAGTGATGGAAATTGAGCGGAGCACAGATGCACAAACAAGGTTATTGAGAAAGACCAACACGGTAGTTCTTCTTCTGCCTCCTTTAACCTATTTCTGCTCTCCCTCCAGCATTGAGCCTATCATGCCAACTCTCTCCCTGCATCATCTTCCATATCCATCTCCTAAACCTGTGATTTCTCTTGGGGGGGCTTGACTGTATCTCTGCTCGACAGTCACACTCACTCTTCTCACTCAGTGTTCCCAACAACTTGTCACTACATCTGTTATTTTGCTGTTGTATTTCAGCATTTTCTCTCCTGTTCACTGCAGCCTGAAGCCTGATAACAACTGTGCTGTGGCTCCAGTTCCATAAGCTAAAGGTGTGTGTTTGAGAATGTCTGAGTTCTTGTTAGATTAGAGTGAATTCAGTGTCCTTTCCACAGATGCAGAGTTTTGATCTAACTCGTTTGTTATTTGTTAATACACAGGCAAAGCAACGTTATTACCGTGTGCCCCGACACAAGTATCTATTAAATATCTGTTACGCACATAAAGTATCAAAAGGAGGTATTTGGGGTCTCCAGGAACTTGGTAGCTGGTTTGGATTAGAGTGGTAAGATATGGTGAGTGTGTCCTCAGTAAAGGACATGGACATGGACATCAGATGGATCTGCTTTACTCAGTTGTGGATATATATTTCTGCTGTGGTAGCAGGAAATCAAGTAAAACACAATGATGAATGAGGTAAGAAGTGGGAAGAAAATCAGGACTGCACAGAGACGGAAATGAATACGCACATACACAAAGTAAGGTAAAATCGAACAGATCCAGTCATGTCACATGACCAATGACTAGAAGAGAGCAGTCCTTTAAGTGAAACTGAAAGTGATTCATTGTCATTGTGACACAGCACACAATGAATGACATGTGTCCTCTGCCTTTAACACATCACCTTAGTCAGCAGGGGGCAGCTCAAGCTGAGCGCCACGGGAGCAGTGTGTAAGGTAGTCCGCTACCTTAACCACCAGGGCACCACTGCACCTAAATACACTAATGGTAGCGATTAAACTACTTACCGGTAGGTTACATTGTGTTAAAAATAATGTAATGTGTTATGACTAACACACTAAATAAATATTTAAGTTGTTAAATGGCCAGTATTTGTGTTCTACTGGGTTAAAAACCCTACACAGTCAAATTAAAAATTCTGATACTGTCCATCACTAATATGTGCTCTCTGTTACGTACTTGCCTAATCCAGTAACTATTGTCCCCAACTATTGTTGAGAATATAAAAGTTTGAAAACTTTACATTTAGGATGGTATGTGGCAAATGCTGGCAAGAATACGACACACTAGCTCAAAATTAGCTACAGAAGTAGTTATACGTAATTACATAGAAAACAGACCCATCTCAAGGGCAGCCTGTGTTGTTATTGAAGAGCGTGACCTACAGTAACCCCAACAGGATTACACAACACCCTCATGCTGTACATCAACTCTTCACATCAGCCCCTCTATACCTTCTGCTAACTGTGGCAACGGGTGAAAAATGGTGAAACGCTGTTACCTCCCTCAGAGACTGACCTGGATCAGTAGCATGAACGTCCTGTTAATTAGTCTGTTTTGCTCCAGTTTTCAACATCTACAAGTCTTTTAACAGCGTTTAATCTGAAGGGTTTACCTTGGAGACTAGTTTCTTGGCCGAGGCTGCCAAAACAATGCAAGATAAAGTAAACATTATTAATCCCAATGGGAGGAGTATGGAGTCTAGAATGAAGTCTACAGCATTTGACCTGGTTTAATTACTCAGATACAGTGGGCCAACTCACTGCGTCTCCCGAGGAACAATTCCAGAAGATCTTATCAATTAAAGAGGAAACAACAGGAACATAAAGGTGTAATCAGTCACACAAATGAAAACAAACAAACAAACAATAATGTCACTGGATACGGTTCAGAGGTTTTACATCAAATCAATGTAGTATTTCTTAAATTCAAATTACAACATTCATTTCTGCAATAAAAAAGTTTATTTTACTCCTCTAGTCTGTCAAAAACCACAAAACTGACTTTAAAGCACAGTAGTAAAGTTTACTTCTGTAAACAGGTTAATTGCTGTGTGGATTTAGCCAGCTGATAGTCTACCTCTAGTCCAACATTACAGTTCATCTCCTCTTCTCCAACACCAACCCGTCTATCACCACTGCGAACAAGATCTCAGTTTCAGTTACCGGTCTTTCAAACATGGGAAGTTCAATTAAGTTACTTTTATTTATAAAACAAACACAAACAACATAAAATAATTAAAAAGAAACCATCAACTTCAACTGACGCCACACACTCAGTCACTCAGTGACAGGCAGCAGGAGATCACATAGTGATGACATTGCGTGACATTGTTGGCTTGTCCAGCAACAAAAACAGCAAGTTATGGTACGACAACTGGGGCAATTTGTTATTAAAATTTTCCACTGTATATGGAATTAAGCTATACTACCAAACAAACATCTGTCTTCTCTGGCGAGGATATGTACTTATATGTACATCCTCATCCACAAAAGTTTGTCCTTTGCCCTCAAGGTGTAAATGAATCGTTGAGTCCTGCCCTGAGGAGCTGGCTCTTCTGTGTTGGATGAGAGGTGAAACGTCTTCAACAAACCTACTCCGTCCGGTTGCCCTCGATGTAACTATTTTTGGATAAGATGACCTGGATGACTGAGAGCCTACACTGACACCAATGTGCTTGTACATGTCTCTGCCCACATGTACTGCACTTCCTGGCCTCTGTTTTTCCACAAAGACACTACGCAGCTTCTTGTGATGGTCTCTTACAGTGGAAAACCACATGTCCAATACTCTGGAACCTCACTGATAAGAATTTTTTGCCTTGACTGGCTTCAACAACTCTTTCTCCACACGTAAACCTTATTTTTGAAATTCCTCAAGGACACTTTCACTTTCCAAAATGGTCTATAACAATCTGGTGAAAAAGTCCAAGCATGCCGTGAACAGGCCAAGTTAATAGGGTTTGTTTACCCCAAGTATTTTACCCCAATGAAAAACACAGCCGGACCATTCTGACCTTTTCCTCTCACGGCGACACCATGTGTCTCTGCAGGAAACGATGCCGTTCATGTCAAGAATATACAGTACTATTTGGGAATTGAATAACCCAAGACAGCTTTCTTTCTGATTGATTTTAAATTTTTATGACCATGATTTTTATTAAATCTTCTCTATTGTTCTCCACATCCTCCTTGGCTGCACAGTGATTAATACCAACCAAAAAAATAGGCTTCTGTCAGAAGTTTGCAAAAATGGAAAATCTAATAAAACAGAATCAAATTGAAGAAACGGTTTGATGCAAGTAATCAATGCCTTAGCCTTAATAGTGTTCTGCAGCATTTTGCAACACATTTTATGAACTACATATGGACAACTAATAATTACTCTTGTAATTATGCTGTTGCCTAATGTTATTATATTATACAAGTTATGAGCCCATATACAGTACTTGTGTGTTTGTGTATTTATATTTTCTGTGTATATATATAATATATATAAGTAAGTCCTTACAGGTATGGTGAGCATGTACTTTTAAATGTAGTACATGTTACATTTAAATCTTAATCTTAAGGCAGTAGTTCTAAAATTGTGGGGCAGGCGACATGGCGAGGGGGGGGGGGGGGGGGGGGGAAAAAAGGGTATCATTGCTGTTGTGCTTGAATGATAACAAGCCACTAGACTCGGGCAGCCATTGATACAGTGTTTTGTATACATAAAAATATACTCGTCATCAGGTTCTCAATAGTATTTACAATCGTGGGGGTTGAGGGGTTAAAACATTTCTGACCCTAAGGGGTGGCATGACAAAAAATAACCCATACCCAGTGAGACCTGAAAAATGGACCCCCAAATTGTAGCTATACATAGAACACATACAATCACAACCACACACATATAGGTTTTTGTGTTTTGTAAATCTTCCACAGCTTCTTACACTTCCTGTACCTTAACTAGGACAAATCTATACCTAATCTTAATCCATATCCTAACTCTAATCCTAACTCCAAACTATATCTTTAACCTCAAAATCTTCCAAATCAGACCTTCAAAATATCCCCAAAAGAAAATGTGTCCCCACAACCAGTGTTTATACAGAATAAATGTCCCAACAAGAATAGCTGCACCAGAACACAAAACCATACACAGGTGGAGACAATTGCTTCACATTCAAAATCAGCAATACATTAGCTATTTTAATTTGTTGATTGAAAAGGCTGTGTGTAAACATTGCCTTGGGCTTACCTAAATGAATGGTTCAATTTGTTCAGGTAAAAGTCAAACAGCAGGAGTCACACTAGAGTAAATTAAAAGAGCATCAGCCATTAGAAGTAATCTTTTATTTCAATGCAAGGCATCACAGCTGTGAGACTGCATACTGATATGCTGTAATAAATACAACTGATTTACAGTACTCTGAGTTCTACACACCATATTGTACAAATTCTTTTTAATCAAGAAAAACACGCTAAATTTTGAACTCATTGACAGAACAACACTGTATGCACCTCCTATGGAACCTCCTAGAAAGTGACTTGTGTATCTTGCATGCCTTGTTGACATATCTTTTGTTTCTCTGTGGTAACAACACCACTCCATACCATACATTACCATACCATACTGCACCACACCGTACATTATCATACCGTACCGCACCACACCGTACCGTACCATACCATACCATACTATAACACACCACACCACACCATACCATACTAAACCCCACTGTACCGTACCGTACTGCACCACACTATCTTAAATTTCTTAAGCACTTAAAGCACCTCGGTTGACAAAATGCTGTACAGTATGCAGTATGGAAAAACAAGGACGTTGTCTCTAAGGTAAATTCTTTACAATCAGGTGTAGTTCATTAGCAGTTTATTAACAGCCCCTCTCGAAAATAAACAGATAGCAGTCCATTGAGTACTGCTGACAAAATAGGGATTTTTTTTCTGTTTAGAACATACGATGTAAGGATGTTTGTCACTCATGGTTCGATCAATACGAAACGTCTTGTGGATCTGGACCATAGTTGCTAATGTCAAGTTTCCAAAACATCAATATTTGTTTGGCTGAACAAATCTTTTCATAATGCCTAAGTAGACCTGTAGCCACTGTTACTTAGGGACCATGACAGTCTAAATGAGTTAGTCATCAGTGACCCATGGTGGCCTTTTTTTCCACAAGTTAATGTCAATGGTTGTTTAGCTGTGGCCCATATGTCTGGAGAACAATGAGCCAATTTGAGGCCGTGAACAGGGAACAGGACGTGTGCCGTCCATCTGGCACCGACATTTCTTTCCCCGATGTGTTTTAGAAATTACACAGACTATAATTACATTCTGGAAGCGGTTTAATTATATATGAACAGAAGGCAACAGAATGCCTGCCCCATGCTGGTGCAACCAAACGCCACAAAGGTCTGCTTTGTCACCTTAAATTCTCAGAAAGGCAAAAGCACCGACTGCGCCACTGTGTATTTTAGCAAACTTTAGAAACCTTAAAGTTGAATTTGCTGCAAAAAAAAAAGTTTTAATGACAACAAAACTAAACATGATATAGATAGATAATAAATCAAAGTATTTATTTATTTATATTTATTTTAAAATTTCTGTTAATAAAGATCAACATTTAGTTATTAATTAATTAATTAAGTAATTAATTATTATTTATTTATTTAGTAATTTAGGGTTCACCTTGTCCTGGAATTCAATAGTAACATTTAATTTAGCTTTTTAGAAAACATTTTGACTATTTCTGGGTAAAGGTTTGGATTTAAAAAAAAACAACCAAACAAAACTCTGTTGTGGTTATTTAATGACCAGTCCTTTATGAATTAAAAGAAATGTCCAATCCATGAATGCTAAAAGTTAATTGCTAAAAACAATGCTAAATGCTAAAAACAATCGTCAAATAATCATTTAGTCCACAAAAAATGGACATGTCAACAAAAAAAAAGGAATTCCTTTTTCTTAATAAAAAAGATTAGTGATAACAAGAACAATGGCTACAATTTTGTTAGATAGGGCAAGGGGTAAGGGCAAATCCAGGGCAACCTGGGGTTAGCTTATCTTTTGCTCAAATCTATGACACAAAAAGTAGTCTTTTTAATAGTTTTTGAAAAACCAGCATTTAGGAATAAGAAGCACAAAAGATCTGGGAAAATAAACTACATGCCCAACTTTTAACTTGGGTGTAATTGAATGATTTGGACTGCGGTTTGCAGCTTCATGGCTATGTCCATTTCTTATATACGGTCTGTAAGGTTAATAGCTCTAAAAGAAGGTGGCTGCTCTTGATGCAGACAGTTTGAAGAAAAATGTATGTGAAAAAAACAAACAAAAAAAAACAACTAAACACTGAGAGACTCCCCTCATTTTGCAGTGACTCCTCATGATGGAACTGACTCCTGGGTCTGATCAGACTGATCAGCTGTGAGACATTGACTGGCCCGAGGTCAATGAAGGAGGAACATCGTGTATTGGTTCCTCCTTAATGAGATTAGTAGCCATGTCACGATAACTTAGTGTTTTTGTGAGGGAGCGTGTGCTCCATGAATCTGACTGACTGCTCTGAGCTCACAGGAGCCAGCCAGGATTAATAAGACGCGACCGGCTGCTAGATTTATAACAGCCGACACCACTCGTCGCTGTGTTGGAGGTGGAAAGGTCGAGGCTTTTTTTAATGTCAAGCTGAGATGCATGCAAGTCTTACAACCTCTCCCCGGTATGCTGTCTTATTGCCTGTAATCTAAAGAAGTTGGTTGTCTGGAAATTCCAGCGTCTTCAGTCCCTGAAGGCGAAAAATGCTGTAGAACATTTTTATTTCCTGTTGCTTTTACGCATCCTTTATTCTCACCAGGTGCTTGTATATGTCTGTAATGGAGAGACCTGTGCGGTCATCAAGTCTGTGTGAGATGATGGAACTCAGAATGTTGAGTTCACCTGTGGGTCAGACATTAGCAGGGGTTCTGGAGCTCAGTAGGAGGAAGAGAATTTTATCTATGCAAATGATTTTGTTCGTAGGCACGCTGGAGTGCTTTTTTTTGAGAATTTTATCTATGCAAATGATTTTGCTGGAGTGCTTTTTTTAAAATAAATCACGAATAATTAGCAAACTCAGAAGTCATATTGCTTTTCTAGTGGTTTCTTAAATGTTGGGTCATGACCTAAATATTGGGTTAATAAAATAAGCAGGTTGGATCTGGACCCTAAATAATACCCTAAGTGACTTGTTTGAAATATAAGACTTCTATCAAAGAAGCACTAATTTAATCTTCTTTACTTCTCAAGTGTGGCTACAGTTTGCGTAGCGATTTTGAGAAACCTAACCTGGGATTGTGGATGGAAGGTGGTATTCCTACCACTGTGTCAACCTAGCCCGTATATACTGTGTATATACAGTATATACTGCATATCTCTCTTGGCTGATTGTGTTCATTGTTCAGTTCTAGTATCCCATGCACTTAGAACACACTCGCCTTCTATGGAACACATGCTAATCAAATGCTAACCCACACTTTATATAGAGTTAAAATAGAACCTGTGTTGCAGCTATTTTTTGTAACTGAAATGTGGCTTCAGTGTCACTGTACTGCAGAGGTTCCCAAGTCACCCTCGGTTGTCATGCTAGTAGTCATGCTAGCAGTGCTTGAGAATCCCTAATGTTTTGCATTGCAGTTCTCCCTTGGTTATTTTTTAGACGCCCCAGCCTGATAACCACGGGTCCAATCCCAGTGATTCTTGAATAACTAGAACATAGCTTGACCAGTGATGCCTCTACTGCCCTAGGAAATATTTGGAGTACATTATTATATGCACAGCTACTGTATGTCCATTATTGTATGTGGCGACATATGCAGGATGCCCCCCACTTGTCAGGTCTGGTATTTGTGTTAAGGTACTGTCTTTAAACCATTTTCTAAAATCAGCAAAATTACTTTTTTAAGCCAATATACTTTTGTTGCTAAAAACAAAACTGGATTTGGACTAAAAATCCTAAGCAAACTGCTGAGGTAGAGGTCTGACTTTTGAAGGAACAGTGCTTTAAACTGTCTGGGCAGAAAAGATGACATTAAATTTCATTCTAAGTAGTAATAAACATCTTTAAAAGTTCTTGATTTGACATGGGAGACTCTCTACACTGTGTATTTTCTGTAATTTGACAAGATTGCCCTGAATGAATGAACCAAAATGTTGCATTATTACCATAGAGGAAAAAAAGCAAAATTGAAGCGTTTTGCACAAAGCAGTTTTTTTCCCTGTGCAATCAATTTCTGTAAACATATTCTATTAGGTTTACATTAGCATTCGCAAATTTGTCTTGATGTTTTTATTACTTTTCATATAACAAGGACATTTCTGCTCATTGCTTTTTCAATGTTGCTTGATCCTGCAGTCCTTTGATAGATGCAGTGCACAGAGAATGAATATTAAAAAAAAGCTGCTGTTTTTAGTCTACTCACCATCCGACCACCTCATGGCATCATCCAGGTTTGGGGGCAGCCCCTTCCACAGCGTGCTGTCTTTAGGGTACCCCTGGTCCATGTGTCTCAGATGGTCGTCGTAGCGCCAGTACTGGTTGTCCTTGAAGAAGTAAGTTTTGTCGTTGTGTAACCAAACAAAAGCTGCGTCCACTCCCTCCGAGGGTAAACCAAAGTCAGTGATTTGACGAGGGTAACCCTCCTCCACGATGTTGTCTTTAAAGACCCAGTACTTCAGACCTGGGGAAGGGGGATTCAGAAATAAAATGGGGAGAAATTATAACTTTATGCATTGTAAGAATGAAAAATATCAAAAAATATACACGCCCATGATGATATTCACCTTTGAAAAACACTATTTTGTGGTCTCCTGGTCGCTCGTACACAGCGTCGACACTGTCCAGATTGGGAGGAAGGCCTCTCCAGAATCGATGGATCTGAGCCGGACGGAGAGACACTAAATGCTTCTCTCGAGTCAACCTCCAAAAATACTTCCCTGGGATGAAAAAGAAAATATTTACAGCTTGGGATATCTGTCATGTCCCCTGGGAAAGGTGACAAGTCTAATTTCATGGACCTCCAAAGGTCATAACCAATGACCTTGATGACCAAGTGTGATGACGTACAGTATATTGTATAAATATAAACAGCCTCTTTCCATGGGTCACCATTTGAAGACCATTTGAAAACACTTTACGCATTAAACTCCCTCTGATTTTTGGTGTAGATATTATAGGTTCCTAAAAGTCTGATTTATTCATAACTAAACAACACTTTCATATCTCTAATTTAACGTCACTGCCCTGAGCAGAATGGGTGTTAATAGTAGGTCCGACCCAGGCCTCAGTCTGGTCTTCATCAAACTGAAATACCTTTGAAAAAGAAAGCCTCCCCACGTATTTGTGCCACAGCGTCAAAGTGACTGGTGCATCTGTCTGGGGCGTCCTGAGCCAACCTTACAGAGAGAGAAACAAAATACAAAAACAACAACTAATATAATTACATTTACTCACCAAGAGTCAGAAAATGCCAATGCATGCGCTCCCTCTGATTACATAGACTGCACATGAGGCGGGTCACCACCAGGATGACACAGTTAGCTGCCCCAGTGCATTTATCTCCCGGCCTAATAAAGTGATTTAAAATGGGGACGTGGTCAGCCTGCAGATGATGAAGCCATTAGCACTACAGGACGGCCACTGTGAGTGGGAGGCCGTCGGCCCTCCTGTTATCAACAAAGGTCTCCATTCAGATCTCCATTAACACAACACTGCTGCTGAGTGAGCAATTTGTGACCTTTGTCGGCCAGAGTCAGGCTAATCCATGTACGACGCCCCTGACAGAGGTGGTGAAAAATGAGCGAGGGTGGTGAAAAGTTACCAGGGTAAGTGGGATTTAATTTAAAAGCACTGCAGAGAGTGTACAGGTTCAGCTGAGTGCCGAGAGTACGGAGGTCAGCCAGAGCCAGCTGACATTTTCACTTTAATTTGAAGCACATTTTGATTTATTCCCACTTACAATAGCTTCCATTTGCCTTAATGCAGATAATTCTTGAGAAAATTCTGATCATTGAAACTTCTGAGGTCAGGTCCAAGTAGTGGAGAAGTAGAAGTATTTGTTTTATTAAAACGCAAAGCAATGTATTGTGAACTACTAGTCTGAATATGACCAAAATAATCTGAAGTTGGATAAACGCTTGAATAATCGTATATAAAATAATTAAGAAAGGAACTTAACCATAAGTGGAAAAAATGCTAAAGGCTAGCCTTTATACTATAACTATATGAATGATATTTACAAGATCAGAAGGATGAAAAAATACAGCAAAGAAGGAGCCAAATCAAAAAAACAAATGTAGTCCAAGTTACATTAAAAAAACAAAAAAATTAAATTGACTCCATTTAACTCTGTAGTTAAACTGCTAACAATTGCACCCCCTACAGTTGGGGTGTGAGCACAATGTAAATGCTGATGTTAATTGTCATCAAAAAATCCTTAAACTATACAAAAATGAATACAATTGGGACGTTCTGGTCATTTCGTGGGGACTTTCTTCATCTTTGCAACAATGTTTTGCAGCAACATAACCCTGTCCATTTCTTATGTCTCCTCCATGGTCTGGACACAGATGAGGCAGAAATGAACTCCTCACATGAACTAATGATGTGAAACTGCAGTTTACACACTTGTGTGTCCAGGGCCGTCTTCTTAATCCACTCTAGTTTATGTTCTGTGACGCCTGAATGACACGTTACACCGCTCTCCATTCAGGGACCGCGGCTGTTCCAGATGTTCTGGTGCAGGGTGAGATGTCTTCGCAAATGGTGAACATGCTGTAATGCAATTTCCTGCTAATATTCGTCGTCGTCAGTAGATGGGTTTAATCCCCCCTCATCATTTCTGCTGGTCTATCCCAGTGCCCATTTTTACAGAGTCCAGTTTCTAATGGTCCACAGAGGGTGGAGGTTTTCAGCCTCTACAGATCTTCTCATCACACTGGTGCTCTCGGACCATGTGTGATGGTTATGAAGAAGACATTATCATCTCAGATGTCCACCTGAGGCTGATTGATACCTTCCTATCCAGATGCTCGTGAAACTTTCAGTTCCAGTGACCGGAGGATATGGAAAGAGGCAGTTATTGTGTCCATCCTTCCGCAGTGAGCAGCAGTAGCAGCAGTAGCAGCAGCAACAGCAGCAGCACTGGTGCTCACTGCAGCTCCTGAGGCTAACAGCTCTTAAATCACATTTATTAGATATTTTATATCCCTTTTTTTTTCTTCTTCCAGTGCAGCGTTCCCTCACTGCAGGAGTTTGTGGCACAGAGGTGACATAACATTTCAATATTAACACTCATGTATCCTCTTCTACATGTAGTACTAAAAGTAAATATTTCAAGTTTTTTCCTTCTCCTCCATCAATTCCACTCTTGTTCCTTCTTTCCTTCCACCAGTCTTTCTTCTTTTCTCTTCTTTACATTTTTATCTCTTCCTTCTTCCTTCCCTGCCTCAAATTTATTAAAAGGACAAGATCTAGTCTAATCTATTCTATCCATGCATGTGTGCGAGAGCCTGTGTGAGGAGATGATCAAACATCACTGAGGAAGGGATTGATAGGAATAATCACCAACACTTGTACTTACAAGAAGGTTGATCTGTTTTCAGGCAGATCCAGCAGGACGGGGGGCTCGTCTGTCTGTGAGGGGTCGACTGGTCGATGAGTGTGTGACACGGAATCTCTCACTCCTGAGGAAGGAGTTTAAATCAGCACTGAAAAGTTCATTTACTCCTTCTTTCTCTTTTCATCTATCTGAGTTAAGGCTGCATAATTAATCAATTTTTAATCATAATCACAATTATGGCTGCAACAATTAAAGGAAGATGATTGTTGTTATTTTAATATTTAGAAAAGGGGCTCAGCTGCGTATAGAATCAAGCACTTTCTCAACCAATAGTCAGCCAACCACCAGGGAGCGAGCAAAAACTGCCTTGGAAGAGAGCGGCACCTGGCAGCCTCAAATTGTTTAGTCACGAATGAGAGTGAGCAGAAGGTGAGTAGGAATAGGCAAGGAAGCAATGTGTAGTTTTGGGAGTTTTTTTAAAAAAATATTATTCAGATGGCATGATGGTGACAATAGATGTTCCTGTTCCTTCTTACAAAAGGTAAATAGCATATTTATGTATTTAAGGCTAATCCTTTTGTCTTGGGTGGATTTAATTTTATTATTTATGATTTATTTATATTTAAGGTTTAATCTTAAACTTAACCGTTGCCTTTTACATTTTGGTCACACACAGTCTCAGAATCAGAATAATAATAATAAACCTGATGATCATTTTAGTCATAATTATGCAGCCCTAATCTGAGTCTTACTCCAAAACTCCAAAGACAAAAACCTGGGCTTTTCTATTTTCTCCTTGTTAGAATTAAACATGCCATTAATCACAGATTCTGCTGATTTGGGTTTTTCAGCTCAGCCACAGGAGAAAATGATTATAAATCTCATTTGGTCCACAGAACCACCCCTCTGTTAAATGGCTCTGCAGAAAACAAGGTCTGGCCCAAACCTGGAATTAACACCACGTCGACCTAATATTGGAATGAATAGGAGAAAATGTACAGTGTTCATTTAAGCAGAACCTAAAGCTCCTCTGTAGCGCTCATAAAATATCATTTGACATTGTTTGGTTTAAATCTGACCAAATGTTGCAAAGAAGTTACAAACATTTACAAATAGTGGATGTAATGGAGACATTAAACATTGGAAAATATTGCCTCCAACAGAGAGCAAGACAATATACTTTACATTTACAGAAAGAAGACAGCTGAAAGTTAGCTAGAAAGATTAGCTAGGATATTAGTCAAAAGTACCTTAACCCGAAATATGCCTAATCCTCAGCCTAACCCTCACTATAAATAGATCCTATCTTTAATTCTTGTAACCTAAAAATACCCTCTCCTCTAGTGGGCACCTGAAAATGTCCTCAAAATGACAAAATGTCTCCACAAAACTAGTATTTTTCCAAACTGTCCCCATGAGTATAGCTATACCAGGATCAAATCCCCACACTTGCACACATTCAGACACATTCTCACAGCTACAAAGTGACGTCCTGTCGTACCGTACAGCTGCCAGACTCGGACCTTGTCTTCATAGGGCAGGTCGTATTTCAGAGGGTCTCCTACAGGACCCTGGTAATACGGTCTCATAATGGACTCCATGGCTGAGGTGTGGACCAAGCCGATGGCGTGGCCAAACTCGTGGACCGCAACTGCAAACAGGTCCATCCCATGGGAGTCTGCGGAAGAAAAAAAAAGTCAGTAGATAAGAATTGATTACTTGTAATTTATTACAAAATTAAATTAGCATTAATGCACTGCTCAAAACAACTCAGCTTTATATGCTTTGTTTTTAACAAGTTAAAAGATATTTTACCAGATTAGATATTTTAGATTTAGATATTTTTAAGTTAAAAAAGCATAAAAATACATGATTTTTTTAGTAGCCTAGTAGTTACACTAGAGGTCCTCAACCAACATTCAAATTCCGTTCTTTTGGTGCGACGTATCTGGATTTACCCCGTAAGTCAGAACTCCCATATTGTGCATATATCTTCCACATATTGCAATGGAGCTTATCTACTCCATTCACAAACTAGTTCTTGTGCAAAATGAGTTTTAACGCCGTATGACAGAATAATGGAATAAATTAACGTAATAGATTGTTGGAAAATGGCGTCATAACTATGAAACGCCGTAGGCAGAGGACATCGTACACCGAGGACCCTGTGTAGTGATTAACATCAGTCACACAGGAGCAGGGGGCTGGGATTTAAACCTCTTATTACAGGCTATCGGCTGACCTTGGCCTTCTCCATTTTCCAACAATTAAAAATAGATTTTAACATATAAGAAAACAGATCTGCTCATTACACATCACATCACTGTTTTTTTTATCCACGGTCACAGCCCAGTGCTTTCAGATGAACCCACTGAGTGAAAGTGGATTATTGTCATTGTCATTGTGACACAGCACACCACTGCACACAGTGAAATGTCACCTCTGCCTTTTAACCCATCACCTTGGTCAGCAGGGGGCAGCTCAGGCTGTCAGATCCAGCAGGACGGGGGGCTCGTCTGTCTGTGAGGGGTCGACTGGTCGATGAGTGTGTGACACGGAATCTCTCACTCCTGAGGAAGGAGTTTAAATCAGCACTGAAAAGTTCATTTACTCCTTCTTTCTCTTTTCATCTATCTGAGTTAAGGCTGCATAATTAATCAATTTTTAATCATAATCACAATTATGGCTGCAACAATTAAAGGAAGATGATTGTTGTTATTTTAATATTTAGAAAAGGGGCTCAGCTGCGTATAGAATCAAGCACTTTCTCAACCAATAGTCAGCCAACCACCAGGGAGCGAGCAAAAACTGCCTTGGAAGAGAGCGGCACCTGGCAGCCTCAAATTGTTTAGTCACGAATGAGAGTGAGCAGAAGGTGAGTAGGAATAGGCAAGGAAGCAATGTGTAGTTTTGGGAGTTTTTTTAAAAAAATATTATTCAGATGGCATGATGGTGACAATAGATGTTCCTGTTCCTTCTTACAAAAGGTAAATAGCATATTTATGTATTTAAGGCTAATCCTTTTGTCTTGGGTGGATTTAATTTTATTATTTATGATTTATTTATATTTAAGGTTTAATCTTAAACTTAACCGTTGCCTTTTACATTTTGGTCACACACAGTCTCAGAATCAGAATAATAATAATAAACCTGATGATCATTTTAGTCATAATTATGCAGCCCTAATCTGAGTCTTACTCCAAAACTCCAAAGACAAAAACCTGGGCTTTTCTATTTTCTCCTTGTTAGAATTAAACATGCCATTAATCACAGATTCTGCTGATTTGGGTTTTTCAGCTCAGCCACAGGAGAAAATGATTATAAATCTCATTTGGTCCACAGAACCACCCCTCTGTTAAATGGCTCTGCAGAAAACAAGGTCTGGCCCAAACCTGGAATTAACACCACGTCGACCTAATATTGGAATGAATAGGAGAAAATGTACAGTGTTCATTTAAGCAGAACCTAAAGCTCCTCTGTAGCGCTCATAAAATATCATTTGACATTGTTTGGTTTAAATCTGACCAAATGTTGCAAAGAAGTTACAAACATTTACAAATAGTGGATGTAATGGAGACATTAAACATTGGAAAATATTGCCTCCAACAGAGAGCAAGACAATATACTTTACATTTACAGAAAGAAGACAGCTGAAAGTTAGCTAGAAAGATTAGCTAGGATATTAGTCAAAAGTACCTTAACCCGAAATATGCCTAATCCTCAGCCTAACCCTCACTATAAATAGATCCTATCTTTAATTCTTGTAACCTAAAAATACCCTCTCCTCTAGTGGGCACCTGAAAATGTCCTCAAAATGACAAAATGTCTCCACAAAACTAGTATTTTTCCAAACTGTCCCCATGAGTATAGCTATACCAGGATCAAATCCCCACACTTGCACACATTCAGACACATTCTCACAGCTACAAAGTGACGTCCTGTCGTACCGTACAGCTGCCAGACTCGGACCTTGTCTTCATAGGGCAGGTCGTATTTCAGAGGGTCTCCTACAGGACCCTGGTAATACGGTCTCATAATGGACTCCATGGCTGAGGTGTGGACCAAGCCGATGGCGTGGCCAAACTCGTGGACCGCAACTGCAAACAGGTCCATCCCATGGGAGTCTGCGGAAGAAAAAAAAAGTCAGTAGATAAGAATTGATTACTTGTAATTTATTACAAAATTAAATTAGCATTAATGCACTGCTCAAAACAACTCAGCTTTATATGCTTTGTTTTTAACAAGTTAAAAGATATTTTACCAGATTAGATATTTTAGATTTAGATATTTTTAAGTTAAAAAAGCATAAAAATACATGATTTTTTTAGTAGCCTAGTAGTTACACTAGAGGTCCTCAACCAACATTCAAATTCCGTTCTTTTGGTGCGACGTATCTGGATTTACCCCGTAAGTCAGAACTCCCATATTGTGCATATATCTTCCACATATTGCAATGGAGCTTATCTACTCCATTCACAAACTAGTTCTTGTGCAAAATGAGTTTTAACGCCGTATGACAGAATAATGGAATAAATTAACGTAATAGATTGTTGGAAAATGGCGTCATAACTATGAAACGCCGTAGGCAGAGGACATCGTACACCGAGGACCCTGTGTAGTGATTAACATCAGTCACACAGGAGCAGGGGGCTGGGATTTAAACCTCTTATTACAGGCTATCGGCTGACCTTGGCCTTCTCCATTTTCCAACAATTAAAAATAGATTTTAACATATAAGAAAACAGATCTGCTCATTACACATCACATCACTGTTTTTTTTATCCACGGTCACAGCCCAGTGCTTTCAGATGAACCCACTGAGTGAAAGTGGATTATTGTCATTGTCATTGTGACACAGCACACCACTGCACACAGTGAAATGTCACCTCTGCCTTTTAACCCATCACCTTGGTCAGCAGGGGGCAGCTCAGGCTGTCGGGGGGAGCAGTGTGTGGGGACGGTGGCATGCTTAGAGCATCTCAGTGGATTCCAACCTACAACTTTGCGGACACAAGTCCACTTCCTTCCACTGCACCTATAACAATTAAACTTTAATATTGTGCTACGTCTGGATTTGAACCCCCGCTCACAGCCTCCCCCAGTCTGTGTCACTCTCCCTGAGCCAAACGGCCACAGCTAAGCCTGAAGTCGAACCAAACAAAGCACTGATTCCATGTTTTTTTTCCTGTTATGATTGAACCGCGTTTGTTCAGAATCCTGACTAACAAGTGTGTGCTGCGCTCAGATAACTGTGGTAATTCTGCCTGAGACTCTCAGCTGCCAATCAAAACCTTCAAACATCTGAGGAGGCTTCAGGCCATTAAAGCTTGTTTCCTCCATGTTCCACCAAAATAAAGACAAAGAGAAAAAAAATCTGGCTTTGTGAAGCCAAACAAGAATCCAGGGATTGGAGATTTAGGTTTTCCACAGTCTGGAGCCAAGCTGGTTTAGAGTTCCTTGGTGACCGAGAACCAGGACCGCCGTCTGTCAACATCTCTGTGTTGTCCTTTAAAGAAAGACAAAAGACAACTGGAGATGTCCCAGTGCAGACAGGAGCTAAAGAGCAGCTCTAATCTGCAGGAGCAGACGTTGCAGAGAAAAAGAAGATGGAGTTGGAAGGTGAGACAACAGGGATTTGGACCAAAGCTGAGATCATTGTCCTCGTATTTAGACTCCATCTGAGCTCGACAGGAATTCAACAGCGGAGGTCTGAAGGCAGAGTCAGAGCTGAGTGATTCAGGCTGACGGGTGAGACTCAGCCAGACATCCATAGAAAAGAGATGGTGAGGAGAAAGGAGGTGAAAAACAGATTAAAGCTAAATACTATCAATGCCCTGAAGAACGTTCAAGTCCAACCTGTTCCTTTTCTCACACTTTTTACAGCCATTTGGAACTACCTCACAGATTAGTTTAACATCAGCTAACCTTTGGTTGTTCATTTGGCTACCTTTGAGCTATTTAGGGTTAACTTTTACTTACATTTTATAATATGCAGTTACTAGTTACCAGTTACTATTGTGGCTTCAAACATAGCTCAGGAATGGTTTGGTTAGCTTAACTGTCTTTGCTAACTGTTATATTTAAACATTATTTACTCGTATTTAAACTCACTTATTTTTCTGGCTAACTACAAGCTTTTCATGGGCAGGTCACTGTCTATTTGAGCTACTCTTTGTTAATTTACATCTATTTTTTGGCTTAATTTATAGCGCATTGCAGGTTAATTAGATTTTCTTTTTAAATACAAGCTCCTGTGCAGTTACTTTCTTTTTATTTCTTCAGTAATTTTGTCTTTTTTTCCCACCAAAACACAATCAGTGTTTGTTCTTTGGAGTAACTTATTATTTGTGTTTTTTAGATTTTGAGACCATTTTAAGTATGGACAGTATGTTTTCATTATCTTCAGGCCTTTTTTTTGCTGTATTTTTCAGGTAACTTCTAGCTGTACCTAAGCTAAATGTTTGTCTCTTCAATTTCAAGCAACTCATGTTTCCTTGAGGGGACTTCTCAAGGACCACTTAAGGTGTGATAATGGCCAAGGGAAAAATTGCCAAACCTTAAATGTAATGTAATATTAGCTGTTAAAGCGGACTGTGAGTTGCAGCCATGTAATTACATTTCCCTACTGTGGGAGGATTAAGGGAGTCAGTTATATTATTATCATCATTATATTTATTCTCTTCTGAGTGTTGTTCAGGACACAAAAAAAACCCCACTCCTCACATTCACGCCTATCAGTTAGCAGACAGATAGCCGATAGCCTCAGCTCCATGTCTGAAAAACCACAAAGCAAAAGCAAAAGACATACAGCCCTGCTCCAAGTAACCCCTGAGAGATAATTATGTAAAATATTACAGCTAGCTGACTACAGCAATATAAAAAAGTAGAGAAGTATAGAGTAGTCTCTGAATGTATACAGGACAAAGTAAAGATGGAGTACCAAACTAAAATACTCCAGTACATTAAAACCTCACTGCTTTGACGAGATGACTTTCGACCACCTGCTGGCTCGGACAGATCGCTAAAACTGCACAAAACGGTTATGCACACAGCTCGGCAAACCTCATCACAGCATCAGTGGGTCCAAATCACTCCTGTATCGATCTGCCGTTGCAGCGACTGTTAGCTGACATGGCAGATTAGTGCTGCTCCGAGCTCCTGTAGACATATTCCTTTCAGCCTCGCGCTGCCATGAATCAAAAGAGACACTGTGTGCTGTCAGGTGGAAGTACCTCGGAATGTTCCTGCTTCTCCCCCTGATTCCTCTGCCTTCTATCCTTCATTTTTCAGCTAAAGGTTTTAGGATTGTAAAAACCCTACGGCATAATTAAACAACCAGCAGAAATCTGCCCCATGATCTTCAACTGATTCCCGTCTGTCTTTAAGGAAACACTTAAATAGAATAAATAAGCATCTTCTCCACTTCAATCGCTACAATTTTATTTCCTGTTGCGCCACATATCCATAATCATGTTATATTGATCGCAGTGAGGCATTAAAAATTAATTACACACTCTGTATAGCAAATAAAAGTCAGACGCAGCAAGGTTCCACATAAAAACACAGTCAGCGTTCTAATTTTTGGGGGATTTGGAAACCTAACGCAGAAAGGTTCAGACGATCTTGGGGAGCTTCTTTTTTTTTTGTTTGACAGTGACTTCTTTCTTTTTTTAAAAAAAAAATCTCCTGCTAATGCTTTGTAGAGTAGACTAGAGTGGCTTTTCACACGACTCAGAAATCCTGTGACACACTTCCTGAAATATATCAGCAAACGAATTTTCACTGATCAGGGTTGTCCAACTTTTTCTCAGTGAAAGTCAGATCTGATCATTTGAAACTTCCTGAGGGCGAATGCTACCTCCCACTCAGGTTTTCTTTTAAATGTGCACAGAAAAGTTATTCAATTAAAGCGTCTAGTTTTAGGCAGAAAGAACCCAGACCAAACCGAAACAAAAAATGAAGAAGAAATGAGAAATGGTTAAAAGTGGCTCTAAATAATAAATAATAAAATGTGTAGTTAACTAGTACTAAAAATTAGGCAAAAAGCACAATTGTTTAGAAAGTAAGTCAGTAACTCATATGACCTAAACTGACAAATGATGCTTAAAAACTTAAATATCACTTGAAATAAGGTGAATTGGAACAAAAACAACCTCATAAATAAAAAAGTATGAGCTGAAGGATAAAGAAAATGGAGGCTAAAACTAGAAGATTGGCTAAAGCTAAGTTTGAAGGTAAAGGTTAGCTGACTAGAAACACAATTGAGCTAGTTGACAGGTCAACCCAGATGAAATGTTAGGTAAAGGCTAGCCAAATACAGTGAAAGATGAGCAGGTTCACAATGCAAGTAAAGCCACAAATAGCTTCTGGTAGCTTGAAAAAACAGTTAAAACCAGGGAGGAAAACAAAAAGTTTGCACACACTTAGCAAAAAATAGCAGAGCTTCTCATTCTTTTAAAGTTTTACTAACTAACTAACTAGTTAGCTAGAAAGTAAATAACGATCAAATACAGCTTTAAATAATAATAACGGAAAGCTAACCTTGTTGTAATTGTCATTATAATCTTCTGAAAGTCATCCCAAATGGTTTAATGTTATCTAGGAAATAGCAAAAAGAAATCAGAAAAAATGTATCATGTTCTCAATTGCAAAAATACCCGATGTCGAAACCATTTCAGTTACTGTTTACTTTAGCTTTATCTGACAGTTGTGGGCTGGTGGTTAAGGGAGCTGACTTGTGTCCGTTAGGTTGCAGGTTTGAATCCACCAGCCACCAAGCTACCACTGAGCATGGCACCATCCCCACACACTGCTCCCCAGATGCTTAGCCTGAGCTTCCCCCTGCTGACTAAGGTGATGGGTTAAAGGCAGAGGTCACAGTGGTGTGCTGTGCATCTGTGACAATAAATCACTTTCCTTCTTTTTCCTATATATACTGTCCATACATTTTTGCAGCCTTGTGCTCTGTGTTCATCATTCACCTGGAGATCTGAAGGTCCACGCCTCGTCGTCATCGAAGTGCGTATCCCCGGCCGTAAACCTCTCTCCGGGGAAAAAGGCGTGTGCCACGGTGCCCCCTGGTCCATCAAAGGGGTATCCATCGTTGTGGTCAGCTTTGGTGAAGTCTATCTGAATGTCTGCGTCACTGCCGGCCACTTCGTGGAAGTTCAAAGGTGCGATGTCACTCCAGACCTTCAGGGCGTAGTACATGAGGGCTCGCACCGTGTCCCTGCCCAATATGGCTGAATCTTTAGGGAAGGTCCTCACTCTGGGAAAAGAAATGAAAAGAATGAACATGTTTAGAAAATTCATGTCTCAATTGTAAACGCCTTCTGGATCTTAGGGAGTCTTGACAAAACCAACAAAAACAATAGCATAATTTACAATAATAAAATTATTTTCTATTTCGGAGGAGTTGAAGTTCATCGTTTTTTTTTTTTTCCGTTTCAGTTTTAGCCAAAGAATTGACTCACACTCCCTGAGACTTTGCACTAAAAATATAAAAATCTCTTTTTTTATTTAGAGAGAATAAGAAAGGAAAAGTCAAACACCGTTGGGGAGTGTGTTTAATAATGAAGGGGATACAAGTAGTCAGGAAGCTGAAGTATGCTTAAAGTGAAGTACTTTTACCTTGAAAATGACAGTGTGTAAAAGTGAATATTTGAGTTAATAAGCTTTTTTTTGGAACTTGAGTGGTAAAAATGATAAATCACTTACACACACCTGAGTTTGTTAAAATGATGACCCTGGTGCTAGTCAACAACACTAGGATAAAGCTGCTGTTGTTACCTAAAGTCTCAAAAAAATATCAGGAATCTCTACATTTACTTAATCAGGCAATTGTTTAAAAATATTAAATATCATTGATTGTACCATTTTAATATACTTCATATTTGTTAGTGAATACATTGTGGAGGTGAGAGTTTATATTAACTACATGGACACTAGGTTTAGAATTTGATGTCCTCCTTTTCAGATCAATTAATCTGACAAAAAAGTTAAAGCCGAGTTGACAAGTAATTGGATTGGGTCAAATTGAC